TGTCTATTACCAAGTATAAAACCACACTAGGGACAAAGCTCGGCAGTGAACAATCAACAGCATCTAGTCAGGAAAAGAGGTGGGTCAAATTTCTGCTTAGGAACAGCCATATTGTCATGAACAGTCAGTTAATAGTCATAAGGTAATAGTAAAGAAAAGCTTTCAGTTGTTTATCTCAAAATACTATCAGAAGTATTGTCTTAATGTTTTTGATGTTTTGAACTATTCTGAAGAAAAACACAATGATGATACATATAATTTTACTTGTATATACTGCTGAAAAAATAATAAAAGTGCAGAACAAGTGTTTTTGAAGAGCTGGTGTAGTACATTATTAATTGCTGGAACACTGAAGATAGTACTGATAGATTTATAATAGCTTATAATAAAGTATGAGAAAACATAGTGCTACTGAAGGGGGGGAAACAAAGTTCAGTCAAGCAACAGGTTCATAGAGGCTTGGCATGAGTGGAGATTTAATACATACAGATATGAACTAGATTTTGGGTTTTCAAAAGTAAGATCTAGAGAAATGTACTGTATTTCTAGCCTACTATTTTCTGCTACTTTTTCCTATTTTTCTCGTTTTATGAATTTGTATTTATATGGATTTGTTAAAGGGACAATACATATTCAAAGATAATATAATGCAAAAGACAAACATATACTTAGCCAAAGCTAATTTCCATCCTTAGTCCCATGCTAGCCACATAACCCAATTCATGCAATTCATAAAACATGACAATACCTATTCCCACATGCATCTCTCAGTCATACACTGTAAAACACACTCATATGACATTAGTATTAAAAGGTGCAGGTCAAACATGTACTCTCATTACTTACACATGCACAGCATTAACAGCTAAGCATCTATTTACAGTTCTATATAAAATATGATTGCAGTCCTTGGCATTTCAGTTGTGTGGACACAGCTGATTGTCCAATAGCCATGATTTAAGTTGATCAGAGAAGTCGGTGATTATAGGCAACTCACGTATAATCACTGGGATGGTGTTCCAGGTTTGAGAGGGGCGGAAAGAGAATACAGCCTGTCCAAAGGCAATCAGCTTCTCAAGATACTGTAACAAAACTGGAAACCTTGAGCGTGTGACAGATAAGAGCTTAATGATAAGGGTGAAGTCAGAGAATTGAATGCATTGGTTTTAGTGCACTTGTTGGAGCACGCTGGACAAATGAAGATGTTAATATGGGGGCTTGTGCTCTTGGGCAGCTCCCTCTGCGCCACTGCACCCACACAATACTCAGCGAGCTCTGGGAGGAACAAGTTATTGCTCATCTCATTTGATGGTTTTCGCTGGGACTATGACCGCGAGGTGGACACCCCAAACCTGGATAAAATGGTCCAAGACGGAGTGAAGGCCCAATATGTGACCCCGCCATACCTCACCATCACCAGCCCTGCCCATTTCAGCATGCTCACAGGTACATGCATACAGCTTACAATAGATTGATTCAGAAGCTCAAAAATATACATTTATAACATACATAATTTAATAGAAATTAAGTAAAAATTAGTTTTGTGCTGCTATTTAAATTTGTCCAATGCTTCCCAGTGTTCAGCCATTTGATGTAGTCAATAGCTTTTTAATTAGAGCACTTGTGTAAGCTGTCAGTGGTTTCTTATTGTTTTCCCCAATACTGAACATAATATTATCAACATTATTTATTCTTTACAGTTTATAGCTTCCACTCACTCAAAAAGCAGAAACTGAATTAACTGAACATCGATCAGTAAAGACCAAGCCTGCTCTAGTTGAGCTTTGAACAGCACAAAGTCTACACTAAGACTAGAGACATATATCTTTAATGGAGTCTTTCTGTTCATGTAAAAACTACAGCAAGTAAGTGTTGTTGATGTGCTCTTGTATTTACAGGATGTTATGTTGAGAACCATGGAGTGATTCACAACATGTGGTTCAACACCACCACTCAAGAGAAGAAGCAGTACTACGAAGCCCAGTTTGTTGACTCGTATTGGGACAATGGCAGCCTGCCTATCTGGATAACGGCACAGAGACAGGTTAGGCGCAGATATGCAAACTATACCTCAACATTAAATATTATACCTACAATGTTTGGAGAGTTATTTGGGTTGTCAATTAAAGTTCAAATCATTAGCTTTGAAACACAAAGATGAAATGTTGCCATCTGAGGAGGGGCAGTCAGCTTCATTTAACGCAGAGAATTGTCTTCATTTTCTGTACCTCAACTATATTTTCTAAGTGGAGAAAGAGTGCATATTGCTGATGGTTCTTGTTCTTGTATTTTAACAGGGCCTTAAAACTGGGTCTCTACATTTCCCTGGGACAGCTGCAACTTACCAAGGAGAGACTGCAATGCTGCGGCAGATCGAACCGCCTCTGTACAATCACGCAAATGAGACCGAATGGAGAATCAACATCGATAAAGTCCTTGTTGACTGGTTCCAGAAGCAGGACTTGGACTTTGTCACATTGTACTTTGGGGAACCGGATTTAACTGGACATAAATATGGCCCAGATTCCCCACAGGTGAAGGAAATGATCAAACAGGTTGACAGAACAGTGGGCTACATCCGAGAGAGGCAGCAGCAGCTTGGGTTGACAGAAAGAATGAACATGATCATGACTGCAGACCATGGCATGACCAATGTACTGAAAGGTAAGCAAATCCAGCAAATCCTTCTGTCCAAGATCCCAAACTTCAGTTTTCGGGACATACAGTTCCAGCTCTTAGACTATGGAGCTTTGGGAATGTTGCTGCCTAAGGAGGGGAAGCTGGAGATAGTATACAAAGCTCTGAAGGACAGTCACCCACATTTACAGGTTTATAAGAAGCATGATGTCCCAGCCAGACTTCACTACAGCAGCCACCCACGCCTCTTGCCACTCATTCTGATCTCAGACGCAGGATATGTCATCAATGGGGTAAGTCTAAACATGGTAAATTATGCCAGGCCACTGTTTAAGGTGTGACAATAGAGTAGAGTTCACACTTTACTGAGATAGGCTTAATCACACCTGTTACTTACTCAGAGCATAATGAAGGATGATCAGCAGGTTGAGTAGACGTATAACGATAGTGGCAGGTTACGTTTTTATTTTATAGCATCATAATACCTATCTCTAGTTTATGTAATGTAGAAATGTAATGTTTAGAATACGTTGCTACTGACTCAAATGTTACAGGATCAAAAAGCCAGTATCTAGGTATATATTGTTCATACTTGGAACTCATCAAAATAAACCTGGACTACATCCTGACAAACCAGGATGAACAGGACCAAACCAAGTCTACACCAGGACTAACCTGGATATAAAGCAGGAGAATGTGTGAAGGTGCCCTTACTGGCTACTACTACTACTTCAGTATTTCACAAGCTCACCATTTTATTTTGTTTCCTTTAGAAGATTAGAAAAACTTTTTGAAAGCACAACAGTTTTGACAAGCTGATATGCTTGGATATGTTAATTCCTTCCCATGTTTCCACACAGCTGTTACCGTTGCAAAACAACAAAGGGGACCATGGCTTTGACAATGAGATCTTGGACATGAAGGCTTTCTTCAGAGCAGTGGGCCCAGACTTCCACAAGAACCTTCTGGTGGAGCCTTTTGACCTGGTAGACGTGTACCCACTCATGTGCCACCTTCTCGGGATACAACCGGAGGTCAATGATGGACGCCTGGAGAAGACCAAAGCCATGCTGCTTTCTGAAGATCCCACAGGGGATAATAATAGTATGTTATTGTAACACAAATTCACATCCATGATCAGGAGAGTAGGTTGTTAAATGATGTTATGACATAGAAGTGCCCGCTCTTAAGATCTTTTAATCTTGTGCTTTTTTTGTGCATATGCAGGTGGGGTACACAGGACACTGGTGACAGGCCTCTCAGCAGCCATCGGTCTTTTTGCACTCATCTTCATCATAACTGCCACATATCTCATCTGGAAAAGGACCAAAGACTGACCTCAGGTTCAAACTGAGATTCAATAATTTGCATTCACTCCAATGTCTTCGGGTGTAATTATATTTAGGACTGTGAAATAATTATTCATATCTATGTGTATCTGTGTTATATTGTTGTATATTTCTGTCTAACCCTCTTCAGATTTTAAGAGACATAAATAAAAGTGAAAAATTATGCATGAACAGAAACGTGTTATTCTTTACCTTATAATTCATGTTTAGAGAGTTAAATCGTTTAATGGTGACAGAGGCAGTAAGAAGTCTATGCTAATCTAATCTCTGTCATAAAACAAACTGCTGAATAGCACATCTTGTATTGAGGGCTTTGGTTTGGCAGGGGTATATTTTTTATTAATGTTGTGATGTATACCTTGTACTAAAGAGAAGGTGCAGGTGAAGTAACACCTCCATAGCAGAGAAGAAAGTGAACAGCCTCTCCACAGTGATCAGCAAAATGCACACAGTCCCTAAAATGACCACACTTATGTCCTAATTTTTGATTTTAAATTGTATTACAACATAATTTAGCTCAGTCGGCATATTAAAGCTACCATTTGTAATTAGAATGGCCGACCCAGCCCTGTTGTATACTCACATAACACCACTACATGCTGTCTGCCTTACTGCAAACTGCTAGTGTGCCATAGTCTGCCTCACAGAAGACCAGAGAGCACAAGTGAGCCTGAATAAAGGGAAAAGTGGGGGGAGGAGGAACAGGTTTCACATCTGCCATCTACTGACAAAAAAAAAAAAAAAAAAAGAAAAATCAAATAAACTTTGAGAGGTGTGTCAGTCAAAGGCCTTAAAAGCTTCAAGGCCTTTGACTGATAATTGCTTTACAGTCAAACCATTGATTCATTCCCACAGGGCTGGGGCACATGGTAGGCAAGCAGTCCATCTGAGGGCCTTGAAAACAATGTATTGTATTTCATATTTTAATTCCAGGCAAAGTAATAAAAAATTCCATAGTGAAAAGTAAGTATATAAAGATGGATGCCGTGTGTTTGCACATTGCGCCCCCTGGCGTCTGCATGCAAGAGCATGCAGGTTAAAGCGCTAAGCCTGTGTCGTTTGTTGTCTACGTCGACCACCACCTAGGTGCATAGGACCAAAACCATGTCCCGGTTAAAACCTGGTTCCAACCGACCTCGACCAACGATGGACCAGCCTGGGCGCGTCTGCTCGTCCCTCGTCTGCTCGTCTGACTGAACTGTGGAAGGCCTGGTATGTTTTGTTTACCCTGCATCAAAAGGATGTCGCGCTATTACTATCTAATCACCTTAATATGCAACTACAACTATTTAACACCCGCACCAAGCTGAAATATTAATAACCGTAGGTAGTCACAAATATTTTTGCCGTGCACTAAACGTATATGGCACGCAAAACAAACCCGTTTTCTTTCCTGAAGCTGTATTCTTGGCTAATGCTAAGTTAAAATGGAGGCGGGTCAGTTGTTAAGCGTTGAGCAAAACACTGTTACAGAATAATGTTCCTTTTTTTCTACGGTGGCAGGGGATGAGTGAACGACATTTAAAGGCTATCAGAATGACTGACTCAGCCGGCACATCCCAGTCTGACAAGATGCTCGACCTCTCCTCCGGCAACAGAGCGCTCTCCCCTGGGCTCTTCAGGAGCGCACCCTGCTCTTCTGGAGGTCCTGCGAGGCTGGCGTCCCTGCGAACCAGGGATATGACCCTAGTAGGAGCACCCAAAAAACCTCGGGTAAGGGTTGTGGATACCCCATTGCGTATTTACAAGCAACCGAGCTGCAATAATACTTCATTTTCATTTTCAGAGAACATTTGAACCGAATGTACATGTGGTTAGAAAGAGCAAAGATGAGTAAGTAATTAATTATATATTCAGGTATTACACATTTCAGTTCCCAGTATCTTATCCTATGTATTGATCACTGCTGGCGATTTTACAGACTAAAAGTACAGATGACCACATCTCCAAAACAAAGACTGGATAGAGAGGAGAAGAGAAAAGAGCGGAGAGTAGTAAAGAGAGAGAAGCCTCGGATCATTCAGTCTCACTCCATCTTTGAGCAGGGCCCAGCGGCCTGCACACGGAGAACAGGTTCAGACTACCTCTGTGTTCAGCCCTCTATCCCTGTGCTCAGTCCTGTGTTCCTGTAAACTCTGACAATGTGATGTTTGTCCAGGCCGAGGCACAACTCTGCACGAGTCCAGCAGTCCCCTGTGTGACCAGCTCAAGCGGGAGCCAGAGGAGGACAGTCATGCTGTGCTGAGCAAGCTGTACAGAGATGATGTATGCATTTTTCCAACTTTAATTTATACAAACGAAACAAAACTATATTGTGCATTAAATTAAAGCCCTTATGTAAATTGATGGCGTTGTACCTGTGATTTTTACAGTTTATAGATGATCCTACTCTGAGGAACAGCTCCAAACTTAAGCCCATTCAGCTTCCCTTAAAACACACTCAGAGTGTCACAGGTAAGACTATACTGAGTACCCCACTCCATGTCTCATCTTGTATGCATTATTGTATTCCTATTGGAACATACCTGTTACTTTGGTCCTTTGCAGCTCAAGGCATACAAGGTCGAAACGTGGAGGTGTGTCAGGCAAAGCAGCCGTCTCTGGTGGAGCTCTTCAGTGATTTGCATGTGTCTGGCAGAGATGAACTCTTTTTTATGCAGCTTCCAGATTGTATGCCTGTTAAAACTGTAGGACCAAGGCCCCCAGACACTGCCAGTTATGGACTCTCAAAGCCAGCTAAAAGAGACAGCCTGCCACAGGGAAAGGCAGGGACAAGCCTGCAAACACAAGTAAGATTTATGTCATTAGAGTCTGGCTTTTTAAGAGAAGGAAGAATACCGTCTCTTATATACTTGTGAGACTACATAATTTAAAAGAGGATCTGTTGAATTGCCAACCACACAATAAACACACTCAAGTATCAAATATTAGAACATGAAAATATTTGAAAGTAACAGCCCGGAGCCAAATAGCTATTTAACACATAACAAGCAAATCTGTATGTTTTCCAAACCTCTCATAGTTGGACTTTGCCAGCAAACGCAAAACAAAAACCCATGAAGAAACATTTTCTTCCAATCACTGCATCAATACCATCACAGCTGCTCTTCATGGTGGTCTGTGTTGCCTTCAGGAACCAGTGCTGTCCAGTTTTTCTGAGGGCCTTCTGGGTAAACTCCAGCTTCGAAAATCAGGAAAAGTGGTGCTGAAGCTGGGAGACATCAGTATGGATGTGACTGAGGGGGGTGCCTTTTCATTCCTGCAGGTACCACAGTGCCTCTTAACACCATGTCTATCATACTGATATATTTATTCTCACCTTGATCATTTGTGTTGCAGCAGCTCGTGTCCGTGCGTTTGTCTGAGGGCCGCTCTGGAGACATGATGGTCCTGGGAAATGTCAGTCACAAGCTTGTTTTGTCTCCTGTTTTTCAGACTTTGCTTGACCAATCTGAGACCAAATCCTCCTAAAAAAACATTTTTTAAAACAAATGGCAGCTAAATATTACATTGCCTTGGCATTACAAAGGCACTGGTCGATGCCATTCAATCCCATCTTTTGAATTAGGCAGAAGTATACACATTTTTATAACATTGTTGTATCTAAAAGGCTTTGATATTTCTAGTGGTTTATGGGGGTAATTAGAAGGTATATCATCATGCATTTAAAAATGTTAGATACTATTTTCCCAGAAAAGTACAGAATTGTTATTTCACTGTACTAGACTGTTGATAGCGTATTTTGGGGATCCCATAAGGCCAGCTATTCTTCATGGTTATCTTTGTTAAATATTTTTTATTGATTATAAGCATTATAATTATGTATGACTTTAAAATATTTGTTTTGTTTAACAATGGTACATTGGTAAACATTGGTGAATTAGTAGAAATAAAATGATTGTTTTGTAAAAATATGTATGCTGAACTTTATTGCATAATGAAAATGCTTTTCTTACACTTTACATTCTTCTAGGGCACAAGTCACTTCTTAATCATAATTATGTCATAATGAGCTATGACTATAGCGTCTACCAAAAGTACCACTTGGAGACACAGCAGCTTTTGCAATGATTTTGAAATAACAACTGTCCATGATCATAAAGAATGGCTTAGGATATCAATTGCCTGAACAAAAAAACAGAAAACAGTGGTTAACGCTGGTCAACAAAGGGCATGAAATTATGGGTCTCAGTAGATGAATCATATTGAATGGAAATAAAATACTCCATGGGGTCTTATTCAAGCTGCCAACTTTAGAGTTTAAACCTCATCAAACACGTTCTGAAATGCAAGTTGTGTTCCGTTTAGCCATTATTTCAGTGTGCTCTTTTACACTGATAAAAAAGTACACTGAATTGAAAATTAATATGAATAAGAATACATTTCAAAGCTCATTCAGCCCTACCTCAGTCAGAACTGAATGGTTAACTTTAGCAAAGAAGATCCAGTTACCTTTGCAAGCACTAGATAAAAGTCATAGCATGACAACAGACTCAGTCATCTTTTCAGGATTTTATCAAAGAAATCTAACAAGTTTTTGTTTTATGGGTCACATATTATGTCTTTTTGGAGGTTTTAGCTGCTTTTGTGGTGGTGCTGCTTGTTGCCTTCTTTTCAGTTGTTTTGGCTTTTCCCATTGCCCTTTTTACAACTTTTTTCTTGGCTTTGGTTGCAGTTTTTCTGTTCCCTCTGGATGGAATTTGCACACGGAGCAAATCGGCTCGTCCTATTTCCACCATGTGTTCTTCCCATGATTTCATTTCATTTTTGTAGCGGATTTTGTCATCTTCAGCCAACTGTTTGTAGACCTATGATGAAGTAGACATTGCGTAAGTACATGTCATATAAAAGAGCTCTATACAAAGGCAAGACTTGGGTCCTACCTGCTTCTGGTGGCTAAACAGATTTCTCCAGTCTTGCATCAGTGACTTCATCTTTGCCTAGAATTTAAGCAGAACAGAACAAGCAGAGTTTATCATTTTGAAGGACATGGGACAAGCTGTGCTATCCCATCACAGTGTATCCAAGAGCTCACCTGTGTGGTGGCTCCTCTGGCCTCTTCATAGTGCTCCGAGATGTATATGTTAACTGGAGACCGGGGACGCTTTGGTTTTCCGAGAGAAGTCAATTCCTGTGAGACACAAAACCCTCAGTAATCAGAGGTTCCCAAGGTTCAGTTATGTGAAAGTGGCAGCACCCTGGGTAGATAACAATATTACAAAACAAAACAACTTCCTTCCAACTTTCCTCCCCTTACGGATGGTCAAGTCAGTCAGGGAAGATAATATTTTATGTCTTTGTCCTTGATGAGATTATATAATCTCAAAAAGCTGCAGATCTTCATCATATTGTGCTTTTCACGTTTGTGAGTAGGCCTGTCATGACAATTAATACTTTGAAGTTCAATAGATGATTACAATCATACGATTACAATAATTTTTGGGACTCAGCCTTTATTGTGGATATTTTTTCTTTCTACTAATGAAAAACTTCATTGTGTTTTTCTGTTTGACAATAAAATTTTGAAATTGTAGTGTTTGAATAAGTAACTTCTATGCATTTATTGTACCCCATGATTTCTTGTGATTTAGAACAGTTTTTGGGGATAATCCAGCTCTACTGTTATTGTGTGGGTGGCAAAAAATTGTTGCAGTATTATTGTGTGTTGTCTATATTTTTCTTCAGATATATATATATATATATATATATATATATATATATATATATCAAACTTCAGAGTATGTTATTGTGACAGGCGTGTGTGAATGTTACCCGTTTCTTGCGAATGGCCTTCCGTTTTGCGAGTCTTTGTTTCCTGTCCAAAGCGTGCTGTTTCTCCTGTGCTGGAGTCAGCTGAGCCATGTAGCGCTGGAAGTCCACTTTAAACTGCTCTCTGGCTTTGACAGAAGCCTCTTCAAAAGGCTGTGGGGCATCAAGGATTTAGGTTATATTCCTCAAACTCTGCCAGAGGAAGTAATTAATAATAACTATGTGTGACTTATTAGCTGACAATTTACTTTTTTTTGTTCGGGGCTCAGTGTTCTCCACTGTTGAGCAATTTTCCTAATGATGTCCACAGATTTGATCTCTGAAAACAAACATTGATCCTTACAGTTTATAGAGTCACAGTTCATTTGCAGTTGTCAGTTGTTTACCTGGGTGTAGTCTGACCATGATGGGCTGCTGCTGCAAAACATATCGCATGTATGCATTTAGAGGTCGTTTTGGAGGTCCACTGGCCACATTACTGAGCCACTTCACGCAGATGGAGGAGGTGGGGAGAAACCCGGTGGTCCTACCCAAGAACAACACAGGATTAGAAGGGCAGGGGAGAGTTGAGTTGTGATAAAACACTACAGAGAAATCTTGCATACAATAGAACAACCACAACTATTCCTAAAAGGTCCGTTTGGACCCTTGGCATGAGCAAAAACAAATACCAGCTTTAGCCAACATGCATTTCTCTTAATCGATACAATGTGTTTGAGAACCATACTTAAAAGAATTATAAATGAATCAATACTTCAAAACACTAGGGGTGCGCAAAAATATCGGAATATCGATATATCGTATCGTTTAATGTGATGATACAGTATCGATATCGTGGGCTACTGTATCGATATATCAGCAAGAGTATTTTTACGTGTGTTTTACTAAATTATTTTGTTACAGCTACAGTTTTGTTGCTTGTGGAGTGAAAGGAAACTCATTTATGCGACACATTTGACATTTTTACTGTTTTGATGATTAAAATGTTTGTGTTTCATATGAACTTTGCACAAGAAGTGATTTAACAAAGACTTTTAGTATCACAGCCACGATTTAGACTTTATTTTTATTGAACTGTATCGAATCGATTTGAAATATATCATATCGAATCGAAAGTGCACTGTATCGAGATATGTATCGTATCGTGGCCTGTGTATCGAGGTATGTATCGTATCGGCAACTTCTTAATGATACCCAGCCCTACAAAACACCCTGGTAAAGTAAAAGAATCTGAAATAAAAGAACAAACATGAAGTGCCTCAGAGCCAGAGGGAGGGGGGCTCTGGTGGTCGTCTTACCTCGCAACAGTAGTTGTGCAGGAGTAAACACTGAAGCATTTAGTCCAAAGGCTAGCAGCTGCAGATACAAGACTGGACAGCGCCATAATGACCAACAGAATTTAACTGTTTTATCAAGCAAACCCACCGTCTTACAAAGCCCAGTATTACACCTTCAGATTGAAATACCCCTATGCTAATAGTTTATGGAAGGTGGGCTGCAAAAGGCGCCTTGACTTCTCTGTCAAAGCATGATGGGAAGGCACGTTTCCGCTTCCGCTTGCCCGTTATTTACTATCGAATCGTGCAAGAATATTGAGCGTCTGGTAAGGGATTTGTAGTTGAAGTTGAAGTTGTAGGGAATGTAGTTATATAGTCATGCACATGTTTGAGCACTGATACTGGGTAGGCGGTATCACTGGTCCTTTTATTTTGTCTGTAAGCGCTAAACGAATAGAAGAGTGAGTCACAAGTGTGGGCCAGCAGGAGGCGCTAGTGGTCAGCTCGTGCACTCGATACACCGCTCCACAGAAGAGTAGCAGTAGCACGTACAAGTGTGCCTTGGATCCACAGATGTGAGATGGGGCGCTCAGCACCTCTCCAGCACCTCCTACTCTGCGCGGGTTAACTGCGTTTAAACAGGCCTCATCTCGGGGGAAATAATCGGTCTGTGGGAGTTGTTTACCCAGAACTCGTGAGGCAGCAAAGGGTTGTTACGCAGCTATCCTGTCCGCGAGGCGAACTGGAATGTGTGGCTTTTCGGCTCCAACAGGGTGTTTGCTGGTGGCTGGAACTGGTTTTGGGCCCCGGGGCGGCAGCATGGATTTATATCAGTGTCAGTGAAGGATTATTAAGGACGGAGTCGAGCTGTAACTGGCTAGCAGGTGATACAGGTTGTTGGCGTTTTGTCCTTACCCAGATATGCTAAATGTTAGCATTTACAAAGACAGTCCACACCAGTTTTTAAGTCCACTGACCAATCTCACTCTCTGGGTTTGTTTGGCAGCTTTGAGCGGATATTGTGACGCAATGGGCCGTGAGCACTCGTAGGAGCAAAGTGGGATGTGGCCACGATGTATTTATGCTGCCGCTGAAGACATGACTGTCACTGCTGATTCGCGCCCCGGGAGTGTGGCCAGCCTCCGGTGTGCTTCCTGCTCTGCTCGCCGTGTGTGGATGCTGTCAGTGGGCGTAATTACCGATCACTCTCATAGGGTGCTTCACAGCACCCATGTAGGCTCCAGCGCCCACCCAGAGCCATTGGTGAACTCGTGTTCATGCGTAATAACAGCATGCGAGCCGATGTAATTTTAACAGGACTAGGTTTATCGTGAAGTCGCTGTCTCGGACTTTATTTGTTGCAAAATCCAGTTTTTAAGCTAAACTGTCTAATGGAGTCCTCTATAGCCCTGGGCAGACTAGAGCTGAGCCCGGGTCCTGCTGCCGGTGGGGTCACAGGGGCTTCCAGGGTGAGTGGCGTTGAATCGGCACATGACAGAGGTGCACAGCGGCACCAGAGCCCTGCTCATCTCAACGGCTGCGTGCCTCTATCCCACCAGGTCGCGGGACACAAGTACGGAGTGGATAAAGTGGGTGAGTAACGACTTTGTTAAGCAAGGTTTGTTTCACTGAAGGGATTGTTTTTTCTTGCTTGTCCCTTGGCACTTGCAGGTGTGAGTCCGCGTGTGTACGTGTACGTGCGCGTGTTGTTAGCACTGGGGGATTGTTCTCAGTAGTTATCTACCCAGTCTGTTAAAGTACAATCTCAGATGAGTCATTGCACACAGTCCGTGATGAAGCCAGTGTCCTATTGAGCTATAGCTCTGCCTATACACTGTCTAACTCCAATAGGCTCTCCTCAGGTTAACATTTAAATAATGAAATTTATGTTAAAAATTACATTCTCCTCTTGATAAATATAATCCTATGTATAACTTGTCAAACATACAGTTTCACAGAACACCATTTTAATTACCCTTGACCATACACGCCACCAGAATCATAAAGTCTAATGATTCTCTAAGGCTGGTCATAAATGAGTAATTTATTCCTGTGTTTGTGAAAGAACATACATTAGTTCTGTCACAGTGTGAGGGATGTTAGAAATGCCTGAACCAGTGCATAAGCATTCAGAATATCTTCAAATGTTCAGGCGCCAGTGTGGAACCAGCTCTTAATCCTGCTCAACCAGTTTCTCTTCCTCTCTTATCTGCATTCTGTTGAATCCTGTGCTCATTTCTTTCTATTTAAGATGAGTTGGGTTTGAGCACCATTCAGATTTTTATGTCCCTGTTTTCTTGACCATAAAAAAGTGTTACAGATAAGAGTCATATATAATATTAGATCATAACCTTTTCTCAAATGTGCAAGATTTGCACCCAAATTCTCGGCAAGTTATATTGACTAGGATGCATACTTAATTAGGAATGGATGATATTGACAAAAATTAAACCTCAGTACAATATAATTTAATGATGATATGATAATATTGATATTTTAGTAAATTGCACCTGATGCTGTGTGCCTTTTTATTTTATTTTTTTTTTAATTTGTCATTTTTGGTCTTGTTGCAGGTATATTGCAGCATCCAGATGGAACAGTTCTGAAGCAGCTCCAGCCTCCACCCAGAGGTCCAAGAGAGATGCACTTTTACAGCATGGTACCAAAACCTGCCTACCAACCCTTCCTATACAAGGCTTTATTTATCAATAGACAGTTCACTGAAGAAGGCACAGAAAGCATACAGTTCAGACTTAGTCCCACAATGCAGAAGGCAACTGTAGTCCCCCTTTTGTCTGGAACTAAAGTTCACACTGAGCACACTGTTTTTATCCTCTATAATCCTGCTGTGTGACAGGCTTTACACCCTGGTGAGTGGATGTGAGAATTTAGCGTTAGAAAACCAAAACAGCTGCATAAAAAAAAATGCTTAAAGCATACATTCCTGTTCATTCTGCTTCTGTGTTCTGGTAAGAATTCATTTGTATAGAGTCACACAAAGACAGTGCACTGATGAGGGCAGCAGCATGTCCCACAATGATAATTTATCCATGCCACCAGACACATAGACTACATAATGATACTGAAATACTGTTTGGTGAAAAACTGCTTAAATAAATAATATACAACATGCATCTCTGTAACTTATCTGCAGCTTTTATATTATTCTTTTGTATAGTAAATCTGCTTTAATTGATAATAGGGTTGTCAAAAGTATAAACAAATCTGATACTACTACTACTACTAATACAAATATTGAAAATCACATTCTAATGTCCAAAGAAAGAGTATTTGTAATTATCACTGTGATATCTAAGTATTAAAATAGTTTGAAATTTGAGTGTCATGACAACACTACTTTCACTTCTGAAAACATTTCAGTAACGTAAAGCTGTAGTATGAAGATCCAAGGAATGTGATGGAGTTTATGGGTTAGATTTAACATCTGTTTTTCACAGGTGTATGCAGATGACTGCTGTGACCCCTGTCTCCTGGAGCTCCGGAACTACCTTCCAAAATACTATGGCACCTGGGCCTCTCCCGACAACCCGAGTGGTACGAGTTCAAAGACAGTGATACCAGTTGCTGTTTTGGCCTTAATTGCATGAAACTGAATTTTACATTTAGTAGAGCAAATCATTTGTAGCTTTCAGTGTTAACTCATAAATGGTTTCTTGTGCTGCAGACCTTTACCTGAAACTGGAAGATGTGACGCGGCTCTTTCATAAGCCGTGCATTATGGATGTTAAGTTAGGCCAACGCAGCTATGACCCTTTTGCCTCACAGGAGAAGCGAGAACAGCAGATACGAAAGTACCCTCTGATGGAGGAGATCGGCTTTCTGCTCCTGGGCATGAGGGTAAGGAGCACAGCACACGGGTTGTTCATTTGACCTGATGCAACTGCTCTGCTTTTGTTTTACTGGGGAACAGAGAAATGTAGTAATTCCCATGATAGAAGTGTCGGTGAGGGGTCAGACCACTCCCTCTAGATTAACACGGCGTTCACTCCTTGAACAATCGTCCAGTTTGACCAGGAACACTGATCTCTCTTATAAACATCACAGTTCACTCCACACCTTTCAGAAATCCTCAAAAAGTAAATGTGTAACTACACATGGTGTAAAGTTACAACATGTTTTTGAGATCCTGTGCAAAGAAAGAATGAAAATACTTGAAACAGCAGCAGGTCATTCAGACTGTTAAGTGTGCATACTATGCATTACTGTTCCATCCTGGCTTTTTAAAATATATGATTTGAGCTTTGACAATTGAATGCTAAAATATCTTTTGAGTTGATTCAAGTAGTATTTCAGCTTTAAGAGTCATATTATTCAACCGACACGAAGGTTAAAGTATAGTTTTGCACCAACATTTAATAGTATATACTTATACATTGCTTCCACTCTGACTCAGAGAGGACTACTCCTAACTGTTCTCGAGGTTTAGTGTGGTGGTGCCATTGCAAATTTAGATAAGATGGGATACTTCCTGATGCCTGTCTAAAACTTGCGTGCAAGAGGCAAATCAAGGATGTTTTGTACCAATCTGTGTTGTTTGTTTGGATGCAGGAAATACGATAGGCCTAATGACACCCCCGCACTTCACAAAAATGTGCAAATGCACATTTTACAAGGTTTTACATAAAGAGATCATCATATAACTGCATCCCAAATGAAATATATAAAAAAAATACCTCATATGGTTGTTAATATAGTCATAAATTTCAGTCACATTATTTTTGTCATTCTGAAACACATGGATAACAGAACTGCAGAAAGTCATCATGTACTTACATTTTTCCTGATGCATAAACTGTAATGCTGTTTCAGGTCTATAATGTGTCCAGTGACTCTTTCGACTCATATGATCAACACTACGGACGGAAGCTGTTGAAGGACACTCTTAAAGAGGGTATGTTATAATATATAGTATATATAGTAGTAGTGTTATAGTATGTTATAGTATAGTTCATCTTATTTCTTCTTATTTTATTTATTTGTAAAGGGACAGTACATATTAATGAACATTAAAAATGTAAATATGTAAAGATTATAGCCAACGTGGCTAATTTCCATCTTCAGTCCCTCGGCAGGTTGATGTAAAATCATCTACAGGACAAAGGAAAGTACAGCAACAATCACACAAAAGTACACAACATCAGCACACTCACTATACACACTCATCAATCCGTGAACTAGAGTAAATAGTGCATGGTCAAACTCTGAACAGTGATTCCAAAATTTATTTATTTTTTGTTGCTAAAATATGGGATCCTATCATTATGTTAAAAAAATGACAACTGTATTATTTAGACAGTGACAAATGATGCCATCTTCATTCTTTGCCTGGCACATCTTGTCATTGCTAATCAAAAATGTGTTGTATTCAACTAGGAACATCACTCTCTGTTCCCAGGTTTGGCCAAATTCTTTTTTAATGGAGTTGCCCTGAGAAAGGATGCTGTGTCAACAAGTATTGCAAAAGTGCAGCAAATCCTGCGCTGGTTTGAGTCCCAACAGCAGCTGTGCTTCTATGCCAGTTCACTGCTGTTTGTGTATGAGGGTCAGCCCCCCTCTGCACCACCCCACAACCCTCTTCAGGACAAGACCCCTGCCCCAGACGAGGCACGGAAGGATGAGCACACTGCAGAATACAATAATAACAACATCCAGGAGCCCATGTCCTGGGACTACAGCCTGGACACCATCTGCACCAACCACAAGAGTCTTTGCCAGCGGCAGTGTAAGGAGAAGCAGCCCAACCACAATCAGGAGGCCGCTGGGCAGGAGGTGGTGAGGACGGGAAGGGCAGAGCCTGGAGCAGGTCCCACTGTGGAGGTGCGCATGATTGACTTTGCTCATGTGTTCCCCAGTGACGCTCATGACCAGGGCTACATCTATGGCCTCAAACACCTGCTGAGTGTCCTCCAGCAGCTGCTGCACGAGCCAGAGCGTCACTGAAGCTCTCTGCTGCACTAAACTGTCCATGCATTACTCCAGTCCATGGATGAACAGACGTTTTATTCGCATTTGGCTTTGAGAAAAACAAAACCAGGAAATTATATGGTCATTTATTGATAGAAACTGGGATGCAAAAAACAAAGATCTCAGCTTTTAGAGTTACCAAATGAAGAAATACTCTTGTTTCCATGTCTACAGTGTGAGGGGACGGGCAGAGGACTAAACATTTAGCAGTGTAGTATTTCCTGATTTAATTTTTCTCATGTCCAAATCATTTTATGCCTTGAATCATCTCAGCCCCTCCATGCTCCGTAGAGCCTTCGCCTCAGAGCCATATGGGCCACGCCTACCTCCGAACGAGCTCTCATTCACCAATGTTTTAGTAAGAAGCATTCCAAGATGGCATTATCCATAGCAAGAAATAAAAAGTTTTAAAAATCTATTTTTTGCTTGAAACATAGATTATATTTTTTTAATGGTGTGAAGTGTAAAATAAGCGAGGTAGGACAGATTTCTTGCCACAGCTTTGGTGAATTAGAGTTGCTGCTGGACCGGCGTTATATTTCGTCACTGTTATCCTCATTTTTTTCTAAACTCCTGATCACAATATCAGTGTAACTCAATGTTCGACATGGTAGTAGCCGAGCCTTTCATGTTTGCTTTATGTTTTTTTGTTTTTTAAATCTATAACCACTGTTGAGAGGTTTCTAACTCAGGTACATGTTATATTTTTAATTAATTGTTCTCCTTGATTGCTCTGTTGAGTTTTGTCCTTGATCAAACATTATTAGTTTGTCTTTGTAAATGCACATAGGAACAATCCACACTAACCTTGAAACTTTAAGTTTGTTCAATTTCGCAAGAATCAGGTTTATTTCAGACCCTAAAAGTTTAACCCTGAAAGCCTCTAAACCGGTCCTATCCTGGGAGCAGGTTTTATTCCTCTAAATATACTTTTATCCTTCTGCTGCTTAGACGAATCCTGGGTACACTTTAAAACCGTTGATTATTATTTAATTTTTATTATTCAGTTGCCTTTTATAGTTTGGTTTCCTTTTTTATAAATGGGTCAGTGATGTTTTGCAGTTTTCAAATGCTCAAAAAATGAAAATATAATGGCATACAAAATGTGTAGATTTTCTGGTATATTTAAGTCTATATTTTTTCATTTAGTATATGCCCCTTGAAAAAAAAACTGAGAAAAAAATTATAATTTTCTGCATTTAAATCCAGGGACATCTTAAAATACGTCATTCGGTGCAATGGACATATTGTTAAAAATTAATTATATTTATATTAACTTTTATTAGTTTTTTTTTTTTTTTTTTTTTCCCTTAATTTTGAAGAATTTCCCAATTTGCCCTAATATGGCAACTCTGGTATCAATTTATTATTATTTTTTTCATAAAAAGAGTAAAACACTTCAAAATTGAATAAAACCTCAGCATATTAGCACTTTACCCCCTGAAATTTAAGTTCCTATGTAAAAAATATATATTTACAGTGTCAAAACTAATTTTTTCGGACACATTTCACAGTAAATGTCATGATGTGAATCAGAGATTCACATCATGACATCGGCTGTTACGGAATAACGGTTCAACTGAATTTTTTTTAAATGGCCTGTTTTGAAATTGACTTAATAAAAACTCACCCAAATCACACTAACAACTATCTAACTCTATCTGCCTTTAATATATTTATTTTCCAAGTGCATTTTGAATAATTGACTAATTAAGCTACCAAACCTATTTTCCTTTATTTCTGTGATTATTTTACATTTAAATTTAAAAGCAGTCCTTTAATATAGTGGCAATTAAGGGCTTAGATTCACCAAATGACCGTTTCCGTTTCATTGAATGACACATTTTGTGTTACCGAATGACATTTTTCATACACTTTCATTCTAAACTGGTATATACTTAATCCATCAAAGAGAAACAAATACATCAGTACTATATAGTATAACAGTTTTAAACACATTTTGAATGTTGCACCAAATTACATGAAAAATTGTGACATTTGTACTTTTTGTGACAAAGGCTTCACCAGCAAAAACTAAGAGGGCAAATCTGAATCTTGTTGCCATTTCAGAGTCCTGCAGAGTCCTCAGAGTGATGTCATTACATTATACCTGAGGAAAGATTTCAGATTATTGTTCAAAATGACCCTTTAACTTAATTTTACCAAATTACATAGATAAAATAGGCTTTTGGGGACAACATTTAATACATTAAAAGTAGTTCTTTTGTATTTATTTTGAACATAATTTTATATGTTCATGCCAAGGCTTCTACAATTATGGCACAGAGAAAAGATTATGATTTTGGCAGTTTTTATAATTTTTGCAAGCAAATGTTCTGATTCTATGTGTGATCCCTTTCACCGTTTGATATTTTAAGACTTTAAACCTGTAATAGTCTTTCAAATTTGGTCTCTTCTTCCAAATGAGTATTGGTACAATTAAAGTGTATAAAACAAATACATTTAAAACTTTATATATTAATAACTAGAAAAGTAGTAGCTTCTGGACTCAAAAATGCCTGCGTCACATCACTGACCCAAATACATTTTTATCAGTCACAGTTTGGTCTGGTAAACCTAGTTTATTATACTTGACCAATATCTAGTTAAAATAGATTTACAAATATTCTACACACAGAAAAAATATATACCAAATGGGTGATGTGCAAGTATCCTTTACATACATTAATATGTTTTTACATACTACAAGTATGATATGAATAGTATAATGTATTTTTCTTTATTCTAATAATGAACTAAAGAGATTTGAAATAATCGGTAGTGATGTGTGTTCAACATAAAGTAATCAGCTAATTAAAATTTTGTTCCTAAGCCCACACAGCTTTGCAGCTCTTTGGGTTCAGCTAAACCAGTCTAACCAGAGACTTCATTTTTTTCATTTGATTTATGTCTGACAATTTGTGTCTGGAGCATATCGTAATGACATTGGTGTATTCTTTAATTGTAATGCAAACTGCACTCTGCCCCATGATATGTCAATGTGAAAGATATAAAAAAGTTTACAGGTTTGGATATTATTACTGCCCATTTTGGTGTCTTGGAAATATTAATTAATGATTATTATGGCAGCTTAACATCTCATGTTCTTTTTGATACTTGTAGTGAGCACCAGACTGGACAAGGTCTGTTTGTCTTTTGTGGAAAGGGTTGGTTCTTGTGCACTTTATTCATGCACAGTCATGTGACTGCGTCAAACCACACCCATTCCACACCCTCTCATAAAGCTCTGTCACAGCTGTGTGTAATGCTATATGTTTTTCATTGTAATTACATGATTATCTAGATATCTAAATATCAAATTTTGCAGCTCCTCTATCCACATCAGTGCAATCCTTCATGAAAACATTGTTCTTTTGTTTTTAATTGTCACAGGCATCTCATCTCAGCACATCTCTGCAAAAAGCTGTTCTTGGAGTTGTTTGTAATTATATTTTGTTCCAGTACTTCAAAATTGATAGTGTCTGACACACTGTATAAAGAACACTAAAGCTTAGACTTTGAACCCTGCACCTGAAGCAGCAATCCTTAACTCCTACCACAGCTCTGATAGTAGTAGAGCTACAACTACTGTGGCACTACTGACTACAAAGTAGAGCTAAATAAAATCTGGCGACCACAGTGGCTATCTGGCAGATACATGTTCTGCTTAGGCCACTTTTGATTGAGTTTTAAATAGATTTATTTTTATAAAATCTAAAATATTTGGGCAACAGATTCCACTGGTGTTACCTTCAGGCCTAAAGATGACTATGAGTGGGTTGAAATGGGCCAATCACTGCCAAATGAGAGGCTTACAGCAAACACCCATCAATGTAAATGTAAATAAAAAGTGCAAATAACCCTCTAATCGTATTTGTTTGTCAATATTTTTGCATAAATAAAAATATATATTCTGTCTAATAATACTTATTCTAGTTTATGTTGGTGCTCTTGCACATTTTTATTTAAGACATTGAATTATAACACAGTGTTTAAAATACATGTTTTGGACTCCACCAAATCTACAAATACTGCAATGATAACAAGAGTGTGCTAAGTAATACGGACAGCTTGTCTAATTCATGTGCATGCGGCTGTCCACTGGATGGCAGTGTACTTGGTATATTGATGGGACTTAGCTGGATATATGCCATTATTGATCTAGTTCAAGTTTGACAAGTTTGAGAAATAGAGATGATGAGTTAACTCAGTATTTCGGTAACTTAGGTTTGGATCACCTTGGTGAAATAAGACTACAGTCCATTATAAATCCCAAATTTAATCACAGTCACAGTAATGAGCAAATACATTGTCCTCTTAGTCTTCAGTGTAAACTAAAATACAAACAAATGGAAAAAAAAAACTGAAACTGGCTGTACCTAAGTACATTTGTATTTAAAAAGTAAGGATTTCAAAAGCCCTTAAGTGTAAAAAAAATACAATTTGAACAAGACTTTAGAGGAAAAAAGGGCAAACATTTTTAGTGGCAACAACAATATGGAAATATGGAAACAATATGGAAGATCTGTGCCATATATGGTATTTTAATTACTGAAATATAAAAACAATTAGCGATGCAAAGCTAGCTTTAATGGCAACACATTGCCTGAGACAATGTAAGAGCGTAGGAATAGTCCTAAATACACATAATAAGATAATTACCGATAATGTTTTGATACATTTCATTGAGATCATGTACCTAAGAGTTTGTTGTTCTGAGTGTTTTCAATGTATGCAACTACACAGAGTTTTGAATGGTAATTTTTTTTTACCACAAATATTACAGTATTTAAAAACAACAGCTGGATAGACTCAGAAAAAAAAAAAAACATTCTTGCTGCTGCCAATGATGGGATTGTTAATTGTAATCACAGCTTGTTAGGGTTCAAATGTTGTGAGCGCCATTCAGAAATTGGGATATTGACATTAAATAAAATCAGTGGGTGCATGTTCACCTATTTTTCCAGTAAAACTGAGTAATTAGTTAATTTAGGTCTGAAACCACCCCAAAAAGCAACTCACTTCTTATATTTGTGCAGTGAAACACTTTAAGACAGCAATATACAAAGCCCTGGAGCAGGTTAAAATCTGCCAATATTCAGTAAATAAGGCTGTTGTTCCATTGGACCCAGAAGTAGAAAAAATAAAGTTACGACATCATCACATAATTTAGTATTAGTGGATTACAGCTTCTTTAAGGCCTGTGGGTAATATTTCAGAAATATTCTGTGGGCTATCTCATATGTGTCCCCCTGAGGTTTACTTGGATATTTCCGTTGGTTGAAGATGAAGCCCCTCTCCACCTGAAATACAGCCTGGTTGAAAGTGTCTTGTTTGAAAGGTGTCCCACTGTTGAGGCACTCCACAAGAGTATGCACAAACAGCGCCCACCGCTGGCCATAGTAGTCCTCCATGAGGCCGCCCCACTGCTTATTGGCATAATCCAGGATCTCTCCACTGGGACCCCACAGGGTGAGCTGGTTGCGGGCGTTCATATCGTACAGTTGAGCCTCGCGCTCATCCAGTGCTAAGGAGTGGGCCCTCTCCAGCCACACGCCCAACAGGAAGCCACGCTCACTGTTCAGAAGGCGGTTCAGCTCTGGCAGAAGGTCATAAACCAGCACGCCCCCCGCAGTCAGGAGCTCCGGCAACTTGTGTAAGACAAATGCCTCTATGATGTCCAGATAAAACCACGAGGTCATCACCTCCAGCACCTGCCGTGTGACATCCACCAGGTCATAGCGGAACGTCTCCTTTGACATGAGCGCAGGAGCTGCATCCATCAACAGTTTCCAGGCCTGGATGAGCTGCGCGGGCTCGTACCAAAGCTCTGTGTTCATGTGGAAGGAGGGCCGGCGCACCAGCGGACTGTGGTTGTGGTTTCTGTAATGAGCCACTGTGCAGTTATACACACTGGCAAACAGCAGCTTCCAAGCAGTGCCGAGGTTTTCCTGTGTGCTTCCATAACGACGGATTGCATACAGAGACACCCATTTGGCCAGATTGACAGGCTCCTTACGCCAGGCCAGCTCACTCATCAGCTCATAGACCACTGGATTCTGCTCAATGCCCTCAGGTGTCATGCCTGTGCCAACCATAGTGGAGTTTGGGAAATTCATTGCTTTGAATGGCCCTGAGTTGATGCTCTCTACTGTGCCAAAAAATCCACTGTTGCCTCCAAAGTTATGCAGCATGCACCAGATAAACGGCTGTCCATAGAAAGACTGTGTGTAGGAGAAAATTGGTTCTGTTTCAGCAAACAAATCTAGCACAATCATCCGACCAAGTGGCACTCCATGGAGTAAGGCCTGGATCTGGGCCGGCTTCCAAAAGGCAGCGTCACTGAAGAAGAGCCAGCCTTGCATGAGCCAAATAGCCTGAGGGTCCACTGCAGTGCAAAGCATTTGGTCAGAATGACCCCCCATGTTAAATCAAATATTGATTTTACTGATAACAAATGTATCATTGATTTATTCACAGTTACAAAAACATTTTGCATTATAATATTTTACATTATATAAATATTACGACTATAATCTGTGCATACAAAAGGCTAAACCCAGTAGTATGCTCTCTCTAATATGATGAATAGAAAGACTCACCTGCTGTCATGGTGCTGAAGACTGCTCTGCTGACGGATGATAGGTACGCAGGGTCCGAAGAGGGCGGTGTCATCTCATTGAACGTGTCTGTGTTATAGATATGATCTGTGCCAAACTGTTTGACCACTTGTGAGAGGAAGAGGGAACCGATTCGGAAGAAGAGTGGGTCCTGGGGGTCTAAGACGTACGAGCAGGAGTAGCTGCAGTTGAAATGAGCCCATGGTCCCAGTCTTGTTGCATTTGCATTTGGATACAATCTAAAACGGAAGAATTAGGGGAAACAGAAAACTCAAGCTTGAGTATTGGATTACAAACATATAAACGTGATCTTCTAATAGTATATTGTAACACATGCTGCACAAATAATAAATACATATTGTTGTTTATGAGGAGTTTATTCTGACCTCAGGATTCCTTGAGGGATATTTCCAGAGAAGGCTGGAAGAACTGGAATCATGCCAAACGATCGCATTCTCTCTAAGATCTTAAACTGCCAATAATAGAAAAGGAGAAGAAGTCAGAACTTCTAGTCCATCTTCCACGTGGATGTATACAGTCCCCTAACAAAGCAGGCTCAGAATAATGCAAACTGTATAAATATCCATAAGAACAAAAAGTAGCATAAATGTAGCTGCACCAGTTTCTAATAAAGACATAAGTATGGCCATCCACTCTTTAAAATTTAAATCTTTAAAATTTAAATGACTACTCCTTTCACAAAAACATAGTATGTTATTTGACATACTTGGTAAAGTTCATCATTTTAGTTCCTGGTTGGACATGGGCAGTCAATATTAGCTACATTTGTAGCAGTAACTCATGAATGAATTTCATGACTATTATCAAGAAACCATACTTAGATAATATATTACAATATTTTCAGGTATCTTATTTGGTCTATGGCTTAAAAAGTTAAAAAACACAATGGAGCACTTCCTATATTACCATATGAAATCACAAGTTGGAATGTGTGAGAAAAAGGACTCATCCAAAATATGCAGGGTTTGTGCGTTAAACATGTGAATGAAACAAAACACAACTCCAGGTATGTTTTTCATGAGGAAACAACATTATAACATAAATCAGAAAACAGCATAATATGTGCCTTTTCATGCTACAAATGGGTACGTGTGTGAGGACCTGGAGGCTGAGCTGAGTCACATGCCAGGACTGGGGCAGAGGTCCCCCGAAGCGGAACATGTTTGCCATTCGGTTCCAGGCCAGAAACGCCGGTCCAGAGAAAAACTCCTCTATCTCTGTCTGGTTTAGACCCAGAGATCGATACACCTAATGCACACAAAAATGTATCTTCAAAATCTTCCTCAACGGGGCACTACATGTTTTAAATACAGTAAAAGAACACTGAAATTAATATTCAGGACTTCCACAGAGCTGAGTAATCACTTTTTCATATCTATACTACGGAATTTAAAGATGATTCACCACAGACAAACAATGCAAGAGTGATGTATAGAGTAAATGACAGTAGACAAGAGGTATGTGTTCAATGGAAAGGAGGCATCATGTGAGCCTTCCATAAAACCAAACACCCCATAAGTACTTTTCATTACTGTGTGGGACAAATCTCAGACCCAAAGGCCACTCTGGGAGATTACGACTATATAAGGGAATATAAAATGCATCTGGTCTTTGGTCAATATAACATTTCACAAGCAAAATTTTAAAGGTCGTATATTACACAAATTGACTCTCGTGAGCTTTAAGTCATGTTATAATGATTTTTAACTCATCAAAAACATACCTAGATTTTTTGTTTTGTTTTGTTTTCACACATGTTTGAGTAATCCTGGTTTATTAGTCTTTTATTAATTCTGTCTACATTGCCAAAGATCAAAATGCTCTCTTCCTCCTTGTAATGTCTCATAGTGGTAGATTTCAAGTTAACAGGTTTTGCATTTTGTTCAGTTGAGATTGTAAATTCCAGTGCTGAAATCAACCAAATAATTCTACTGAAGGTGTACTGAGTTTAAAAATGCAGTGGAGCACTTCTTGTTACTACATGGTATCATAAAGAGCAACAGAGTATTTTCAGTTTGAAAGAATTCGGCCTAAATATGCAGGATTTGTGTGTTAAATATGTGTGAATGAAACAAATCACAAATCCAAGTATGTTTCTGATGAGGAAACAATACAACACAAATCAGAAAATAGCGTAATATGGCCCTTTAATTGGAGTTACCTACCTCCTGCCATAGCGCTTCCTGTCCAGTGAAGGCCAGGGGCAGGTTTATCCCATTTAGGGCCATCCAGTCAATCTCTCTCTCCCATCGAGGCCAGTCCCACCACACAAACGAGTAACTGACCGTGCACACATTCTGGTAGTACCGGAACCTGCATTACCAGCAGAAACGCTAGGTTAGTTTATTTGCCATTTGTAGTTAAAAAACACATTGGAAAAACATGTGCAAAAAGCTCAAAATGCTCCATGAGACATTAAAAATGACCACAAACAATAGACAATCATTATAGATAATACTGAAATAAACAAGCTGACACTGAAATAAACAAGCTACAAAGATTAAAAGGTGCACTGTGGAACTTTTCAGTTGGGGGACCACCACTTTCTTGTTTCCTTTGATATGCCATTGCTCTGCTTGGAATGATCCGTAATATGACAATAAACAGATCTACCTTACATTTATTCAATTACAGGCAGTTTGCTCAAAAATACCTAGGAAATTAGGGAGTCTGACTCTGAACATTGTTGCCTCTCCACAGATCTGACTAACTTCATCTGGTTTGGTCTCCATGAAGATAAAAAGGATTAATGCTACACTGTGAGCAGTCAAAGCAATAACATCTCTACTGAGAAAAGCATTTGATGAACCTCCACCAGAAAAAAATACACAATGTACCTTTAAGGAGCCAAAATATTAAGGTAATTAAAATATTAACAAAATCAAAGTTCAAAGTGCATTATTCAAGCTTATAACTGCTTGTGGGAAGGGTCTGAAATACAATATTTACAGTGTAAAGATTGTATTTCTGTATTTCTGTGTAAAGTTTACACAGTGTAAAATGTTCCAGACACTTAAATTAATAAATAGAATTACACTTGTATATAAGTTCCCCTTTGACTTGATTTATTAGATAAAAGGGGTCTACATTTGCATTGTCATTCAGAGGTAGATTTTGTTGAGTCATAAGATCAATTATTCACTTTTTATGTCAGTTATAAGTAAGTTGTAATTTTATAGATGTGCAAAGTGCAAAACTGCAGGAAAGCATGGATAATATTACTCTTACATGACAAAAACAGTAAAGATAGAAATGAGCCATATGTACATACATTATGTTCATTAAAGGTTCTATATTACAAAAGGTTAACCCTTGTGAGCTTTAAGACATGTTTTTAAAGTTGCTACATCATTAAAAACACACGTAGTTACACTTTGTTTCATTCATTTGAGTAAGCTTGGTTTAGTAGGCTGACTACATCTTCTAAATTCAAAATGCTCTGTTCCACCTTGTGATGTCATAAAGTGGTAGTTTTCAAGTTAACAGCTGCCTTTTATCTTTAGTTCAGCAGAGATTGGCAATTCCAGGGCTGAAATCATCCAAATGACTCTAGTGAAGGTGTGTGGAGTTTAAAACACACACAATGGAGCACTTCCTGTATTACCACATAACATCACAAATTGGAACAGGGCGTTTTCTATTTGAGAGAAGACCTCAGATTAGATATGTAGAATTTGTGTGTTGAACATGTGTGAGTGAAACTAGTCCAGGTATGCTTTTGATGAAGCAGCCATATTATAAGAGATCAGAACATTGCATAATATGGGCCCTTTAATATGTGTATTAATGATGTATGAGAGGATAACAGATTGTACGCATGAAATCCATGATGTTGAACTGTCCTGCTTCCTGTGCCTCATAACTCCACATAAACTTTATCGCAGCAGAGCATGTTTAAAGGACTTGGGGTCATGAATGCAGGTCTGCTTTTTCAGTGCATGACGGAGGCACGCATGACATAACTGTGAGGAGATGAGGCGACTGTAATGAAAAAAATCTGCCATTGTTTAAAGGGCTCATGCATGATTGTGATATCACCGTCTGGATAAACCTGTATTTGGGAGAAAGGGTGTGTTGAATGCGGAAGACTATTACAAATTAAACCAGCAGTAGCTTTAGACTATCAAATTTAAAAGGACAAGAATTTAAAGTGCCCTGAGAGAGTTTCCTGACTAAGTATGTGTGTAAACAGGGCCTGTTGTGTGCAGTTGGCACTGGGCCCAACACAGTGAATGGCTTTGATGAAAAACAACTTGAAAGAGGCTGTTTTGCTGAGCTCAGTTGAAATATTGGAGTATTCCTATTGTGGTCTACTCCCAGCAGCTGTCATGACTGCGTCATACCAGGGAGCAAAACATCCCAAAACCCCTTACTCATTTGGACATGACAAATGAGGACATGTGGAGAGAGAAACACATAGGATGTGTTCAGTCTGTATAAAACAAAACAATACTTAGGGTTTCATCAAAGGCCCAGAAAAAGTCACAAGACACAGGGAGAACTTTTGAAATCAAACCAAAGCAGACAAACCAGGCTTGATGCAAACACCTGAAGCTGTAATATATTGTGTACAGGCTATCATACATTTACATTCAACACCATGAAACATATAATCTATTATTAACAAAGCCAGGCTAACTATATTAAAGACTTTCTTCAGTGGCCAACACACTGTAAACAATTGGATATTCTCATTATGAAGAAGATGTAAAAAGAAGTTGTAAAATCTTAATTAAAGTTCCTTTTGAATCAGATGTCCTGCTTTTACACCTGAGCTCACCTGAGGCAGAAGTGGACCAGAGCGGATACCCTGCACACAGGACTGCTGTCCCCAAACTTTGTGCTTAGTTTGGCAAAAAGCCTTTACTTTTGATGCACCATCTGAGTGAAACTCCCAGAGTTAATCTCGTACAGAGAAACATATATAAGTTGGCCCTACCTACACACAGGACACTCTTGTAAATAGGTTTTTACGCTCAGTGTGTGGTTTCATCCTGGTTGAATAAAGAACTGAATAAATTTATGTAGGCTAACGTATCGACACTAGATATACTTGATATTATTCTACGTATGTGTGTGTGTGTTTTACGTGGTGAGTCGGTGACCTGTGCGGGGTGGCGATGCGCAGAACCCCGCTCAGTTTGGGCAGAGGTCGCGGCAGGTCCAGCTGGTCTCCGGACCAGGACACGTGACAGTTGCAGAAGTATTTGAGGTAATTGTAGATGCCAGACGACACGGCCACACCGCTGCTGCCGGTGACCACCACTCTGTTGTTCCTGGTGGAGCGGAGCTCGCACACGTCCAGACTGTCGTTGGAGAGGCTCTTGTTTACGGACACGATGAACTCCGAGGCACGGGTCCCAAGGAGCCTGTAGAGCAAGCCATTCACAGCGTCGCCCTGCGCCTGCTCACTGCTGCCCGACCGGAGGTGCTCCAGAGTGGGGAATCTCCGCTGCGCCGTGACGCTCTCGCACAGCGCGAGGAAGATGAGAGACCTCCAAAAGGAGCAGGAGAGCATCTTCACCCACTGTCAACACTCGATCCCTTCGTAGCAGCACTTTCAAAAACATTTCCTACTTTCTCCAAGCCAGGAAGCGCCACATCACTGTGAACCAATCGGATACTGCGCTGTCAATTCTTAACTTGGCAGCCAATCACGAAAGGCGCTGCATTCCAACTTTCTACCACTATCACGTGATCAGTCATATGATGGCTCTGATACTATTCTCTTAAAGCAGATCAATGTCCATTTATAAACATGAAGCCGTACCAAAGTGGAGTCAGAAAAAGCAAAAGCTGCCTATAACTTTAATCCTAAGAAAATAATCTTGGTGAAGGAATCTATCATTTATTTAAAAAGTCAAGACACAGAAAACGAGTTTCATATAAAAGTGTTTATTTATCAAAATAAAACAGTTCCACATAGCTGTACACCACACAAACTGGACTACAGAGATCTGCTGGTGAGATCAACTTTAAGTTAGAAGTAAACAGTATAGGTTTACACTAAAGCATAAGGCAAAAGCGCTGAAATAAGCAACAATACAAGTTTTGGCTTAATTAGAATGGACCTGATTACAGAGATATCTATAGGCTGCCATAGTGTGATTTCCTGAGGTTAACCGCATTCACTGTTACTTTGTATGTGCAAGTCTTACATAGACTTTGACAGAAAGTGGAGCTGTAGAAATTATCCCAGAGTTTCTGCCCATTAGTTTCCATTAGTAACAATCAAGGCACAAGCATATCTATACCCATACAAGCATAAGCAATTTCAAGTGCACACAAGCAATTGATTCAACAGATTTTTTTTGATGATCAGAGATTTCATTGGGCAGACTTAAGTCTCAATGGCCCTACAATATCAATAGTGCAAACATTTTACAATGACTGCACTCCTGGTCTGTGTATGTCAAAAAATCTGCCTGATTTTGGCATACTTTTTTGTTCTGACAAAGGCAAATTAGTCCAGTAATAAATGATTATGCTTTTCATACAATAAGCTTTTTTATACATAATATGCAAATAATTGGCACAGGTTGCTGTAATATTCTGGCATTACTTTCAATATTTTAATAGAACAAATTACCTGTTCTAAAACCTGATAATACTAACTCAATTATCAATAGTTCAGGCACAAACATTGGGTTTTAAAAAGGCATTCTGAAGCATAAAAATATTTGCAGGGCAAAAAGGCATTTATACATTTACATCGAACCAGGCAGACGGCAAAAAATTGTCACAAATTTCTTGCGATCCATATTTGAATGTATTTATAATTCAAGCCATGTAAAATTGTGCAAGGCAAGTGTAGTGGATAGAAATAAATGCCAATTGCAACATGTATATATTTTCTTAAATCTAACTTATAACTTGATGAATAACTGGTCTTTTGGGATTTGCCATTCTTCCGCTTGTTTCTCAGAAAAGTACTACTACCATACTACTGTCTGACGAAGTGCTATTTTAGATATTTCTGACATGACAGATAGAATTACATGGTCATACATGGGAACAAACAGTAATACTTAGCACAAGCTAGCCCCACTATGCATCAACATTTAGTATATATTAATATATAAGTTGTTATATGGAAAAATAGTAATCTTATAAATGTAGATTGTTCCCAACTCACAAGTGTAAAGCATAATTAAAATATCTCACACACACACACACACACACACACAAAATGCAGCAATGACCAAAACCTTTGAACAAATTAATGACAAAGCCCTGAGAGAGGATAACAGGACTGGGTCAAACCAGGCATATTATTACAAACAAATGTGTTTTTAAAAAGGGCTCACTAGCCCCTTACACAAAGTTGGGGACTGGGTACGTGGGGGGTCCTCAGGTCTGCTGGTTTCCCCATTGGTTTGCCATGGGTCGGCGAAGCAGCTCCTCCACATGACGAGCCACATCCATCGTGTCCTCCAAGTCAAAGTCTCCATCAGCATCCAGCATGGCGTCACTCCTGACAGACAACAGCGCACATTCACTTTACACACAACATCATGGAAGGGCACTCAAGCTGAACCTGTAGGGGGCAGTATGGGAGCCCCTAGGAAACACTGAACAGACAGGGTTCTTGTTGCACAGCACTAGGGTTGTCAAAAACAAAACAAAACAAAAACAAAAAACACATTCATTGTTAGTTACAGTATCATTTAGTAACAAGGTATGAAAAGTAGACACACATTTACACAAACATGCATTAAACTGTACCAATGCGGAAAAGGTTTAGAATGGTCTTGATCTATAGCAGAAGTAGTTGGCCACATTGACAATGTTTCATATTATTAATTTGTATAATTAGTATAATGTTAATAATGTTTACAATGTTAGTATAATGGTTTGTATTGTGACAAAACTACAGCAGACAATCACAGACACAACAGTGCATGTGTCATGTCAGCATTAGCCACAACAAAAATATATGTCTGCATAGACCAAGCACTTAGATTCAGGAAAGTTGTTAGAAAAGTTTTAACATAATCTAACAGCCTGAAAAGAACCAATTTATCTATACATGTATTGTCAGGAGAAGAAATTGCGTGTTATCTACGTGTACTCAAAGAGACCCATGCATGCACACAGCTCAAGACGTGGCCCTATACTGCTTACATGGGAGGGTAAACGGTGAAGCTGCTTGGATGGCTCACAGAAGGGGATGTAGTCTGGTCCATGAAGGCGGGAGGTTCAGGATTGGGGCTGGTAAATCTGACAAAGACACAAACTTAGTCATCTGCATCAATGGGACAACAATGTCAACAGACTATAAAAACAAAGTCTCATAACAATACAGTTTCTAATTCATATTGTAGCATTATATAGTCAGAACATTGTACTCACTCTGGAACAACCTGTTTGATCTGTGGTTTGACATATCCATCAACTGGTGCTTTGGCTGTAAAAGAATGGTATAATTGTTTTAACAACACAAAAAATATGTATTATTAAAGTTAAACTTATATGTACTTACAGAGTGGGGGTGTGTAGTACTTGGCAAATACTTCGTTTTTAGGTTTATCCGGATACAGAAACAGCAGGTGATTGAGGTCACTGATGCGGTCAGCGAGTGAACGAATGGAGAAGTCCTTGGTGGTGTAAGGCAGCAGATTCCAGACAAGCCTCTCACCTGTCACAAAACACAATTAGACTCTAAGAAGGCATTCCATAGGTGAAGCAATAACAGTGAAAGAGTAAACCCTATATTTGCAATTAACAGGTCATAACTGACACTGTAATTTTAGAAATTGTTGTGGTTGGCAAACAACCTGATTTGTTGGGGTTCTCAGCTACCCAGGCAATGGTGATGCCTCCAATCTCTGAATCACTGAAGCGAAGCAGAAAAGTCCCATTTGGTTTGGACAGGAGCATGTCTTGGGCCTGCTGCTTGTTGACAAAGCCCAATATAGCCCTATTGAAAAACATAGCATATATATTGAATACTTACATCAACTTCAAAACATAATCGTACATTGTCATGAATATAAACATATACCATGGTAAAGAAATAAGACTAACCCATCATTCCAATGCGGCTTTAGGTGTTTTTTCATGAGCTCAACAACTCCATCAAACCATTGCCAAAAGGTAAAGTTGCGTCCAGGCAGGCTCTCCTGTAAATGCAAAATGAGCCATTATCAGACTGCTGCTGTGAAAATTCTAACACATTTACAACACTTTACCCTGTTGAACTGGGCCCAGGAAATGGTCATGTTGCGGAAGTCTTCAGGGTTGTTACTGGTGCTGCTGAATGCTTTTTGTGCCAAAAACACCAAGTTATCCTCAGACAGGCCTCGTGTGCTGTGCATCTCCGCCTTGTACTTCATGTCCAAAGTCTCACACAGCTGCGACCACAGCACTTTGTCTGGGACAATGAAGGGCACCCGACCCTGAGGAGAGAATATCACCAACATCCACTGTCAGACCTAAATTTATCTCTGGATTTCTTCATAATTTATGAAGTGAATGATAATGTATAAATGCAGGGCAGTTTGTTCTTTATTTAATGAAGATAAAATTCATACTGACTGGCTCAGCAAAGGCATTGTCCCACAGTACTGTAGCTGTGGCGTTGTTGTCTTGGCTACCATGAACGATTACCACCACTGGTAAAGACAAAGTCTGTGGAGTAGAAGACAAAAGTGATTCATCTAGACACTCATTGAGACTGAATGACCTTCATGTATCATGCCCTCTACTGGGATTTTGATGTGTCTCTGAATATAACCAGTGAGGGGAATATTGAAAACGTTTTGTAGACATTTCTAGAAGTTAAATTGTGCAAAATTATACTATGATGTATAGCACAATGTAGCACTATACAATACAAAGTAAGTATGCCCTTACCTTGACATGGAAGACAAGCTCATTGCCCCCAACACTAAACTGTGATTCAAACAGGACAGTGAACTTCTCCTCTGTAACTGACTCGGCGCCACGTCGATCCGAGCGTTTGATCCGCTTTAGGGACTGTTAAAGTGACACAGGAAGAGTTAAATAAATACTTACATTGTTTATGAAAATAAGCATTTCCTATGGTAAAAAACTCTGAGTTGCTTCTCACACCACAAGAAACATGCATGAAAAATTTGGCCTAGCACAGTAAATCAAATTTAAACATTATGTCACAATGAGTAATATACTCATCATGTCACTAAAATGAAAGCTGTAAATGAAATTATGTTTCTGCTTTCTGCGTTCAGAGCAGCGGTAAAAGCATTGAATCTCCTGTACTTAAATATGTTAAACAAAGCACTACAACAAATACAGTACCATGTTTCTGAAGTGAGCGCTGAGGGTCCCTGTGGCCTGGTGATACTCCATCACACAATTGTTGTTCAGGATTTCTCCACTGCTTTCACTGGAAACACAGAATTTTAGACAAAGAACGAGCAGATGTGTAGGAGAGAGCGAGACCGTCTCACCTGTGTGTGCTTTCATTCTTTAACAGTGCTTTGGCCTGCTGCTCACTCACAATTACAGCTTTGACCTGAGGTGGGTTCATGTGGACATTTAATTTTCCACCCACTAGGAGGCGCACAGTGGCTGCAAACTTGGTCTGAGTCTTTAACACCTGAGGTGGCTGCTTTTCAATGATGAAGGTGCTAAAACATATTTGATTGATTATTATTTCACATTCCAAAAACAAGAAAGCATTTCACAGTCCGTACCTTGTGACAAGGGCCGAAATGATGTCTGTGATATCAGCGTTGAGTTTGGTCAGTAGCTCTTCCATGGGGCCAGGCAGAGGCAGCTGCTGTGTCAGGTGTTCACAGCGACGGATCTGTTGCCTGTTCTGCCAAATTAGGTCAGCCAGTTTCTCACACCTCAAAGCAAAAGTGACACATGCAGTGTTCTGTTAAGTTTATATGCCTCCGCTCTCCATGAAGGTTCACTGAGCAAACCTTACCAGGACTGAAGCACGTCCAGGCTCCCTTCGTGTGGACCTCCATTGCCAGCCAGCTGCTGTCTCCGTTTCCACTGGATGAGCTCCTCATCCAAAATTAGCGTCTGCTGTTTCCTCAAGAGAGCTAAGGTCTTCTGGTGTTGTTCAGACAAATCCTTAAAAACACAGTCACAACCACACAGAAATCAAAGCACACATCAAAACTAAAAATGTAAAAAAAAAAAAAAAGTTAAAATGTATGTCAAGATGTAATCAACCAAAATGGTGAGGCTGAAAAATGCAGACTAAGATGCAGAGATTAAAGGCATAGTACATAAATGCGCAATCTGTACTTACAAGTCTGTACTTCTGGAGCGTACTGGCCTCTCTGGTGAGCCATGACTCCACTGTGGCCCTCTTACTTTGGAGGGCTGGCTCTCTCTGAGTGCGCTCAGCGGCTGGCAGGGAGGCAAGGCTACTTATCTGAGCTAAAGCACAAAACAGGCAGCATTACAATAAGGGCAATGAGGGCAAACAGGATTTTCTTCTTTCTTCTTCCCTTTTCTGTGATCAGTGGATGTAATACCGTATTTTCCGGGTGATTAGGCGCTCCGGGTTATAAGACGCACTGTTGTTTTCCCGAACTTTTTTCACATATAAACCGCACCGGACTATAAGGCGCGTTAAACGAAACACAACAGTTAGGTAAATCAGTCAAACTTTATTTAACGCGTTTACTCCTTACGTTAACTATCAACTTTGTTCATTTGTAACACGTAAAAAACAAAAAAACTGTCTGAGACGATAAATTGTCAGCGTATTCATAATAACTCATAATTGTTCGGTTATAACTAAAAATAACACATTAGGGCGTTTTCACACCGCTAGTTCGATTATTTGGTCCGCACCAGGCAATAAAATTGTTATTATGTAGCGAATACACTCCAGTGTGGTCCGCTTTCACGCCTGCAAACGAACCAAAACTGGTTCGATTGACGTGTCTCTGTTTCCCGGGAAAACAGCGATACCTCCAGTTATCAAAACCGATGTTCCTGTTAATACCACGGGCCGTCCTCATCTCAAATTATCATCATGAACTCATAAAACAGCAACATGTAGAACTTTGTACAAACTCACCGCATCAGCCCAGAGTTTGGGTAACAGCAGCAGCCAACAGCGCTCACAGTAGTGCGCAGCTCCTCAGGACGGAGCTGGGGTCTGGTCCTTGGTCTTCTGTCGTCCTACAAGCGCGTTGGTCAGATTGTCCGGAGGCTCCATCCTCCACGTGCTGGTTCCAAACGGTGGCGAGAAAGACCAGTGCTTGATGGACTGAGCCTGAGCGGGTACGTTCAGTCTGCGCGCTGTTTCCGTGCGGGAAAAGCAAGAATGTGCTGTGGACTACAGGTCCGGATGGGCTGCTCTGGTCCTCCGTGCTCAAGAACCGCGGCTGGTTCCAAGGTGGTGCAGCATCCGGACAGAAGAGTGAGTCCAGTTTGGTTTGTTATATGTTGTTCTGAGCGTCCGTCCTCCGTGCATTTGGTTCTTCCCGGGGAAAGCGCTTCCTCAGGTCGAGGCTCCCCGCTCCAGCTCCTCTGAGCCCGGCCTGAACCGGAGCTGCCCCCGCTGGTTCGGGACTCTGGTTTGGATCTAGTCCGACTGTACTTCTCACAGTAGGCTAAAAGCAGGGACTTTTTGAAGTTGTATCAATTTAATAGGCTATTGCCATAAAATTATTTGGTTAATTAAAGCCTAAAATAACAAATGCCGGTTGGTACATGATCAAGGGTTACACCGGGACCTCTCTGTGCGTGCAGGTCCTGAACAGACGTACACACCCCCAATTTTGACTCACTCTGGAGCCACATGTTCGCACACTGGTACTTGCTCTGATCTTCGTGTGTTACATTCTCTGTATTGGCCATTGTTGGTAAAATAATTCGAAAATGAATCTCGGCTGCGTCTGGACAACAATCTGTTACTGCGCTGGAGTCGAAGATCAATAGGGACGGAGATGTGTGGAAAAAGCCATCCGGTCTCTTAAGGTAAACTTCTCGCAGCCAGTCGCTCATCTTTTCCTCGTCCACAGGAAAAATGAGGAATCACAGTACGTATTACTCCGCGATGCTCCTGACTACGGTAGCCGTAATGCTGCAACTGGTGCGGCTTTGTCGTTTACTGAAGTTGTACTGGAACACTCGCATAAATTCATATAAAAGGCGCTCCGGATTATAATTTTATTATTATTTTTGGAGTCTTAAAACCGCGCCTAATCGCCCGGAAAATACGGTAACTATTGCCAGGTGGATACCAAAAATCCCGACTCAGAGCGTTATCAAACCATCAGTTTTACTTACACAATTGAAACCAATAATTATTCAAACACACAAGAGCAAGCTCTAAGCATACTCAATGGAAATGGTCTTTGTGTCTCCTGTGTCTTGAAAATGTCTCACCACACAGAACTGGAGTAGTCAGTGGGATTTAGGCTTGTGCATTGTTTCTGATTGATAGAGGAGACTATGGTGCCACCCCATAATCAAATTTTCACCCCCATAGTCTAAAAACTAGCTCAGCAAAGAAGTGGTAAAACAAATTAGACTTTATGCTTGTAGTGTTATCATAAACATATAGAAGTAATCATTTTTAATCTGTAACCAGTGTTTTTTGGTTCAACAGAAGCAATAAATGACAACATTTTGTGTTAACTAAAAACAATCAAATATGGATCACATGTGCCACCATAGTTTTAGTATAAATTCATGGGAAATACTGTGTATGGGGCAGTGACCGTAATGTAGTCTGCATGATTTTTACCTTGGATGCGAAGGTTCTCTTGATATTGAATGATAAAGTACTCCTGGCTGTGCTGAAGCTTCCTGAGCTCATTTTCAGTCTCCTGAGTGGCCAGCCGCAACTCCTCAAACGCCTGGTTGATCTGCTGATGGCGCTGGGACAGACTATCCATGGACTGACCCTCTGTACCACAACTCGCCTGTCAGCAAACAACACAAAATGAGCCACGTTGACCACTGCCCCCAAACACACTACAAAATCATAAACCTAGATTTTTGAGAAATTCAGGTAGATTTTACAGTTCAAATCAATCAATGAAATACTAGTACTGTACAGTATCTGTTACCATACCTCTCTCACTGAGTTCTGTACTGAAAACGCTGCACTGAAGGACTTGCTGGTAGAACTCCAGGGTAAACGTTCTGGTGACGTTTATTTTTAGAAGCAAGTTTACACAATTGTTTCAGAGCAATAGGAGTTCTAATAAGTGTTTATAAGAGCTGCCCTTTTTAACTTTTTAACTAACATTTCATTCACTAAATACAACTAAGCCCAAACGTTAAATCTATAAATAACTGCCCTTTTTAGATATTTGTTTAATTAGGCTATTTACCGTAAAATTCGACATGGTGGGATTGAACTTACATTTGTAGCATTTTGAACTAGCCTCTTCTCCGACTGCAGGATGTGTCGAATACAGCGTACAAGCTCCAATGGACTACGGTCATATGTGCTCTGTACACATACATTGAACAGTTGTCTGTTATTCTGGTTTTACAGAAAAACTAAACATAATACATAATACATAATACAATCTTTATTCTTTGCACTTTAAGAAACTAACACATTTCCAGTACTTTTAAAAGGGGTCACACATAAAGTACTACAGTAAGCACATTTCTCTATTGATTAGGCTGTCAAAAATGGGAATAATAAAAAATTGTCACGATTTATCTCATCATAATAGTAACACTAAAACTCGATGTGAAAAAACTTTTTGTGTTCCAATGTATTGTCCAGTTCAAGATGGTGAAGATTCTGTTTTACTATTCTGGGAAACATATGCACCTAAGTCTACTAATTTCCATGCCCAGAGACCTACCTGCACATTTTGGCCCACACTCATAAAAGAACCATACCTTTAACTGGTTGGCATAGTGACCGAGTTTAATCTTAAGGAGGAAACCATCCTCTCCTCCCTGAAGCTGAGCCTTTTTCTGGAGCTCTGCCACAAGGCTGTCCAGCAATCGCTTGGCTTTGACCTCCTCTCCGGGGTTTTCCAGCTCTACCGAATCCCTACAGAAGACACAGTCCACTCATCAAAAGATGGAAGAACAACAGCTGAATGATTTGACAACAAAAATCTGCCTACCATAGCTGGTTTTCAATCCACTGAGCCAGGTAGTGTCGCACTTCAATGGGAAAGTGCTGTCCATACAAAGCTTGCATCTGGTGCAAAGCGTCACCTTGTAGTTGCTGGGCTTGGATCCACATAGCCATGGTGCCCCTGGAAAAGCGAAACGTAAAATTAAGAGGTGGCGTGAGATATGTGATGTGGACCACCCAGGGAATTAACCTGTTGTGCAAGTTTCATACAGAAATACTATGGGCTTACACAATAACGACGTACAAACCTAAAATCAGTGGCTGGTTCTAATGTATTATTCTAATGAAGGAATGAAAACTGAACTGAAGACTACTGTGATGCACTGGTAATCAAGTTTCAGAGGCGTTTTCTTAGCTTGTTGTAGCAGCTGCGTTAGCTCGGTACTAAACCTGTGGGATTTGATACACGGTTTACCCCGCATAAACAGAAGGGTAACAGGTTGGCTCTTACGCAGCATAAGTAGCACTCCGTACAGACACAGTTTGTAGAAAAGTCCACACCGCTGGAGCTGGTGCCAGGGGCGCTCATGCTACGGCTACATGCTCCTTCCTCTTCCTCTGGAGCAGCTGCGCCAACCACGGAAGTACAACAGCCAGACTTCTCGAGGCTTCGCATGTCCACATCAGGCAAAGCTGACTCTCACTGTGCTGTCGCTAGATGGCGCAATTCTACAGGCTATACGCTCTGGCAACTGCACCTCGTGTCTGAAACTTGCTTCCTCAAAACAAGTGAAAGGTGTTTCAGTTTTGCTTTTGGGTTTCAGGTAACAGCAGATCATAGCACTCTTTGCACCAATCTGGAGGATTGAAAATTGTTAAAATGTAGAATTTTTGTTCTGTAATGAGTGAGTTCAATAAGTGAGTTTATGAGTTTTGTCAAAACTGAAATGAACAGGATCAACATTTGTGCTATTACCTTTTGGTTACTTCATGTCAACTGTCCATCTGGGAGTATAACATGATCACATTGTAAAATATGAAATTAACGAATAATGATAATCAGAGGTAGAACAAAAAATTCTAAACTGTGCCCTGGGTAAAAGGCATCTTGATGGGACCACACTGTTACGAGAGACTTTTGGAGGGTCCTTTTACTGCTCTTAGCCCTGGGTACTCGATACAGGTTAGATCCAACACACTGATGCCTGATTTATCATTGTTAAAATGTGCCCCGAGGTTGTGAATCACCAGGCTGCAGAAAACTTACTAGCAGCTCTCCCATGTAAGTCTACTTCAATAACACAACAGACCCACAATAACAGACTATGTAATTGATATTGTATTGCTATTCCAATAAATACTGTGCCATTGCTTTAATGTTTGCTCACTGCAATGTTATCACTCTTCATTCTTCTGTCTATCCTCACCCCAAGGCATGCCCAGGCTATGCACAAGATTAAGAATTATATTATTTATGTAAATAAACTCATAACCCCCAATTAAACAATTCATTTGTTTTTGGCTCTAATCACGAGTAAGACTTTTTTTATATACTGTGCTACTATTGAGTTTCATAATATCGATAAGAACAAAAGTGAAGTAGTCGCAAAATGAGTGAACTAGACTTTATTAAAGTGAATATTAAGCTAGTGGTTCAGCAAAGAATATACAAACAAACAATTGTGAGGATCTTCTGTGTTTACCTTGAAAACAAAATTACAATTTAGAGTTTACTGGGTAAGAAATAATGAAATAATGAAGTCAGCCAGTCAGCTTCCATGTCCCACCTGTGTGCTGTGAACTTTATCTGTGATGGGTTTCTATGGAGCTCACTGTTTAGACATATACACTCACATTTGCACATGTGATCAACAAATAAAAACACAATACAACAGATCAAACGAATGCACACAGTAAAATAAAGTGTGGACACTGGAGGGTGGTAGGCAAGAACAGAACAGTTATTCAGTGGATAATAGCTAAAATAATTGGCTGCAGCAGTCACAGTTAGGCTACAGATAAGGAGTCAGGTGGCATCTTAAAAACAAACATAGCTCTAGATTTAATAATGAAAAGAACATCTTCAGGTATGGGGCATGTGAGATACAGTGAGGGTAAATAATGTCTATTAATTCTGAGTGTGTGCTGAATAGACATATTGATGTACTTTTTGTTCAATATGGCGTGATTACTGATATTTGATATTTTGGTCACATTTTTTTCAGTAATTTCATCATTTCAGACTTTTCCCTCATAGGTCTTGTAATTAAATGGGACATAAATCTAGTGATAGTGTGGTGTATTGTGGTGTGTGTGATTCAAACTAATCACTGTCTCTGTCTTGGTCTTCATCCTTCTGCAGCTCCTCGTGGCTGTCCTCTTCGTCATGATCTTCAGCCTCTTCTACTTCATCGTGCTCCTCCTCTTCCTCTCCACCTCCATTCATCATTTCCATCTCTACCTCCACCGCCTCATCATGCAGCTCAGCGTCCACCCCACTGAAGGCCTCTCCATCCTGGGACACCTCGATCATCTCCGTGCCCTGCACAACCTCCACTGCCCCCTCACGGAACTTCTTGACGTGGAAGGTGAAGGGAGGCACCTTGTAGACGGCGGTCTTGGATCGGGCGTAAACCACATGGTCAGGAGTGAAAGCCTTCTTCACCTTGTCCCGGGATGTTTGCATCTTCTGCTTGCGCTCAGGGTTTACAGACATACGTGTTCCCAACTTGCCCATCTTCTTCTCAATGTTGTGGCGTGTCTTCTCCAGGTTCTCTTTGGTCTTTTGCCTGGTCTTCTCCAGGTTTTCTTTGGTTTTCTGTTTGGTTTTTTCTATGTTCTCCTTGGTTTTTTGTTTTGTTTTCTCAATGTTCTCTTTGGTCTTCTGCTTGGTTTTCTCAATGTTATCTTTAGTTTTTTGTTTTGTCTTCTCCAGGTTTTCCTTGGTCTTGGCCCTGGTCTTGTCCATCTTCTCCTTGGAAAAGACAGTTTTTAGGTTTTGCACACGTTGCAGGCTGCTGCGTTTGATGCGCTCGGCCCGTGTCTCCTCCAGTATGTCCTCCACGTCCACGCCCTCTTCATCTGAGGACAGGTCTACATGGGGCTTATCCGTGCTCTGTCCTGCCTCCTCTCCTCCCTCTTCCGCCCCCTCCTTCAGCTCCAGCATACTGCCACCTCTGCTCCCAGTCGCAGACTCAGAGGCCTTCATGGTTTTGGAGATGCTGAGTCTAGAGGGGAGCTTCACGTCATCCTGTTGGAACACAAATAAGGATGTGTTGAGCAGGCTATTGGCAAATACACAAATAGTTCTTTTGAGTAGAGAGGAAATATGGTATTTTAATGCTATATAGGTGCCTATAAGAGTTCCTGCTTGTTCATTCAGACTTAATATAACCTTGTATTTAAAATTGAATTGTTGAGCAGTGTTTCTCAAACAGTATATGTGAACTTGTTTTCTTCAGTTTTATACTAATTTCTCTCATCTCATTCTTTGAGAAAGTCCTTTCTTAGAAATTGTCAAACATTTGTGCAGTCTTCTTTTAGACCTGGTTTACCTGGTGGCTCCAGGAAGGCTAAATATTTTTTTTAGGTGGTGCTCAGTGTGAAAAGTTTTAAGAACTGGCAAAGCTAAGTGGTTATATATTATTTATTTTTGTTCCATTGTTGTACCAAGCTATACAAAGACAAGTTTATGTGAAATAGTCACTGCCCCCAGCCCACAGGACCCCCAAGTCTTAATTCTTTAACTTGCCCTTTTTTCATAGTAGCCTGTTCAAGGTTGTGTCCCCATATCCTTGTGAATGTAATGCTGCAGCTTGTTCGTGAAAAGCTGCTATGGAGTGGCTTCCTTTTTCCATTCTGCAGGGAACTGCTTGAGCAATTACGTCCCTAAACGTCTGCAGGGCTCACAGTCCCAGCAAAACAGGAACACACAGGGCCAGGACAAAAGCCCACCGGACGACAGGATGTGTGTAAGAGGGAGATCCCTTTGTGGAAACATGTGAATAATCGGGTAAGTGGAATCATACTTCAAAATCTCTGACTTCCATCTGCGTAGAAGAAAAACAAGCTGATGATGTAACCAGAAGTGTCAGTGTCCATTGTGTGGGCTACAGTTTAATTAGGCCTTTATGAAGCCATTGTATTACAGCACTGGAACTTGGCCTTGGAAGAAAGCTTTTTCCTTCAGGGCCATATCAGAACATTTTCACTTCTCTCAAACACATGCACATAAGCTGTCAACAGAGTGGCTATGAACCCTGAGGCTAGCTATAGTCATTCAACATATCACACATAAAAGATTATAGTAAACTCAGAGGTGATAGACGAGAAATACACAGCAGGTCTGTAAGTGTATAACATTATTATTTACTGTACAAACGCACTCTCTAGACTGTATCTGTGTGTGCATGGAAAAGGGTTTGGGAAGTGGAGCATTCACCTTGGTGTCGACTTCCTGACCCTCCTCTTTTAATGGGACATTGTTCTTGAAGCGGCTGCAGGAAGGTCTCTCAAAGCCGTGGAAAATACTGTACAAGCCTGAGTTATGCACTGGGCGTGTGTCTACCCTCTACTGAGGACGCATGTGGTGAAGGAGGGAAAGCTGATTTTATGAGGGCACAATCATCGCTGTCTTGTGATTTCTTTCACCACAACACCAGTTACAACCCCTCTACCTCTGTTACTGTGTATGTTTGTGTTTCCATGGAAACACTGCCGGCTTGCAATTATGCGAATTTATGTGGCCAGTATTTGATTTTTTTTTTTTTATCTGCATGACTCATGGCTCTTTGCGGTGCACTGTATTTTTTCTAACTGCGTAACTGAGTAACCACCATCAGTATGCAAGCTAGGGACTTAAGGCAGCATTCGTTGCACTAACTTTCATTCATCAGAAGACATTTTGATACTATATTAATTTGAATGATCCTAATCAGAACTTTATGCAAATAAAGTTGACATAAATATCCTATCCTCTTCAATCAACACAAGCCAACATTGTGTAAGAAGTTAATTTGATCACATGGCCAGTCTTTTACTTTATTGGCAGGATAGTCCACTGGGTCACATGAGTCTAGCCTAGGCTGGGTGTGCTGCCAAGCTCTGATGTGGTTCTTTTGGGGAAGACACTGGTCTGACTTTGAGGCAGTTACACTTTCTTTCCAGTATGTCCAATACGTGCAGATTGATGGTGCTCCAGCAAACACAGGCTATATGGGGGTTTCCACGGCTGCACTAGTGAGGCCTGAAGCAGTTCCCAGTTCACTGTATCACACAGCTGAAGAAATAGTTTATAGCACTTGATGGCTCTGAAGGGGTGGCATCATGGCCCTATACTACCATAGACAATGCATCAATGCATAGCTACAGTGTTGAAAAATATTTGTTTAATCCTCCTTATCTATGCACCCAATGACCAGTGGAATCATAAGACACTAGTGATTGTGAGTCAGCCCCATCTGAGTCATCTGAAAAGGGTTTGAATCCTCACCAGCTTCACTTTTTTATTCAAGCATGTGTACTGAGGAGTTGCTCTACTGTTGCTACGAAAATATATATCATAATGGAAATTATTGTTCACTTGGCTCAATGAGGGCACATATGAAAATTTAATTTGCAAAATAGATAAGTGACATTTAAATTATATATTATTTTTTGCATGTAGCTGGTTTCAACTGAGGGCAATTAAAATACTGCATGAAATACGGTCAACTTACATTTCACTGATATTATCGGTAGTAGAATGTCACAAAAGGAAATCATTTTGTAAAACACAATTATTTGTATAAGAAAATTAAATTCATGAATCTCAAAGTTACCAAAACAGGACTACATTCTCCCAAAGACTCTTTCCTTTTCACAATCAAACAAGTATGTGATGGTTGCTATTTTTAGACGCCCCTCTGTTGTGTGTGAGCCCCCCCTATCCTCGCCCTGTCCCCTCAGTCGGACACACTCCAAGCCTCATCACACTGGCTTCATGAAAACATTCTGCTCTTTGCTCAAATATAAGCCTGAGATCTGATCTGGAAACAGTTAGGCCTTCCATTGCCATTTATGGAGAGGTAGTGAAGAATGGCCTAAGAGTGATGAATTTACATGCACTGACTTGGAGCCTGAGAAATCCCAGACAGCTGCTGGCGTATCTCTGAATCCTTTGAAGGTGTGTTCAGAAGAACTCCAATAATTTGGTAATTTTGATTATGTAAAATATGCCCAGACCAAAACATCAGATGGAGTGCTTTTTCTCTGTTTTTCTATGATTGTGGTCCCTTGTCATATCATTTATTTTAATCAACATTTTTATTACTACTTCCCTACTTGTGGTGAAGTGTACTTGAAATGTAGACACAGTTAATATTGGTCAGTGCATTGTTTATTTTTAGTATCATCCTAATTGTTTTGAGTTCATGCTGCTTTAGTTATCCTAGTCATATCCTTCCAAGTTCAAGTTTCTACCTGTGTTTAGCAATGAAGATTTTGGTATTTGAAGGCAACATGTGTACATACAGGTGTTGCTATACAAGTAACTCTGCAGTTTATGAGATCTGAATCGTATGTCCACTCACATAACTTAAAAAAGTCCTCATTCTTAAACCACACAAATTTGGTGACAGGGTTGCTCAAAATGTTAAAAGTTATTAATTGGGGACGAGTTCTCTCAAAATCCATCAAACAGAAAGATATAATTTGCCTTTTATTATGTTATAAACATCAGTGCAATTCAAATAACCCAAAATGACATTTGTTTTCATCGTTTGCAGATGTTGCAGGTGTTAGGCAAATTGAATGAATGGGTTGTTGTTGATAGAAATAGTCATGATGAGGCAAGGATCTTTGCGGGCCGTGGAGGAGTCTGGATGCTGGGATGGGTGCATTTTTCTGAAGGGTGGAGACATGGAGGAGTGGAAAACAAGGCTGTGACTGGTTCCACATGAGGAAGAGGCAGAAGCAGACCATGCCTGCACCATATATCAGCTGTCTAAATAAAGTCCCATTACATCCACACCACACACCTATACATCCCACAGTGCAGTGCCGTAGAATTTACCCATGTGGGGGGTAAATAGTGATTATTATAACTGATAGCTCCATAAATAAAGGCCTATTCTATAAAGTAGGACCCATAACGTTTTTCGAAACTGCTATGTATCCAGCCAGGTACCAAACAATATGATACTGTGTGCAGAGGGAGCTTGACTGCCTCTTGAATAAATAAATGAATCCTTATGCCCTCTTGTTGCCAGTTCCAAAACAGTCCACGTTTTGAATTAGTGAAAGCCAGAGAAAGGCATTTCAGGGGGAGTTTCTCTTACACAAAGCCAAGCCCTTGGCAACAAAAGCCACAATCTGCACAAGTTTGACATCTGACTGTGCTTATGAGAGCGGAATGTATTGGGAAATCTATCTAACTATCTCACCCAAACATCCACCTAATGAAATGAATGCCTGGATATGATGATGGAAATTGGATGATGATTTATGGGTCTAGAACATAAAAACAATGCAGTGTGGCGTGTCACGTCAGGAGCGCTCTAGGTTGCAGAATACAAGTCTAACTAACACTTGGAAAGAGTAGGGAGAACCACTGAGTCAGGGCTGGAAACTCTGAATGTTCTTACACCATTGTGCAAAAAGCTCCGAGCTATTCCACATCACCCCCAGGCCGACGCACTATGCTCTGTTCTGTCTCTACCGGGCACAACTTTGAGGAGGCCTGTGGTATTTTCCATCTCCTTAATAAAAAGAAGCTGATGATGTGGGGGCCAGAGATGACGCAGTGTGTAGAGTTCACATGTGAAGACTTGTATTTTTAGAGTCATGAATATTGTACTTAGGGAAGAAAATATCTCCAGGCAGTGAAATGCATTCAACAACCATGTGAAAGGGACTCGGCATGGGAAGAGCATTGGACATACATGACAAAACTATGTCCCATGAGATTTTTAGTTTCAAAGGAAAACCTAAATGAACAATTTTATGTTTTTAACCTCGACTATTGAAGTACACCATCTATGCCTTCAGTACACCTGGCAAAGGACAACAGATGAAAACTAGCCCTTAAGCTAAGCCTTGCATATTATACAGATACTGTTGGTAAGTATGCATTGTCTGTGTAATAAATAGATGAAAATATATAGTTTGATGCAGTAATTTTTACACCTGTAAAACGTCATATAATTATTGGATTTACAAGTGTGGCCTGGAGCGAACTAAACCAGGATCCACCCAGATCAGGTACACATAAACTATGTAAAGGCCCCAAATTAAACCTGAACAACACTGAAAAATAGTTCTTGGTACCATCTGTAAAATTTGCACCACCAGTTTAACTAGTAACACAATTGGGAAATATTATAACCTATCTCTTTGCACACAGAACTCACCCTCACACAGGACACACCCTCAGGACACCCCCTCTCACAGGACACACCCTCACAGAAGACTACAGCTGTGCAATTAGTCAAATTAATTTGATTAATTCAGGTTTTTAATAATCAAGATTTTGACAAATCGCAAAATCATGAAACCAAGAATTATCGTGAAACAACTTTACTCCTTTCTTACTTACAAAGCAAGGTTATTGTGCAATTACAATTAGATATCAATACAAATGTAACTGAAGGCAGCTTAGAGTATTATTATATTATTTTTGTACTGCCATATCACCCTGCACAGGACTCACTTTCACACAAGGCTCACCCTCAGGACTCGCCCTCACGCAGGACTCACCCTCACATGTCTTACTCTGAGGATTCATTCTCTCACAGGACTCAGCCTTACACAGGGCTCACCCTCACACAGGACTCACCCTTACACAGGATTCACCCTCACACAGAACTCTCCCTCACACAGGGTTCTCACAGTGAGGGAACTGACCTGGTAGATCATGACTTTGAAGTTCCGTCTCTTCAGCAGCTCTGCCTCATTGGTCTCCAGTTTCTTGATCTGGCCTCCTTGCTTCTCGAGGGTGGCTCGGACAGTTTTCACATTGACGCTGACCTTGCGCACCTTCTCCATCATCTTATTCACACTGTTGGAGGTGGTGGTGTGGCTTTTGGCCAGCTTGAGCAGCTCTCCCTGGATGGAGGTGACAGAGCGCTCCATCTCCTGCTGTCTGGTCTCCAGGCCGCTCTGTGTTTGCTGGATCTGGTCCACAGCCCCAATGATCTTGTCGAGCAGCGAGAGCACCATAGCCCCGTTCATGGGCTGATCTACGGGAGGCTGTTCGGCGGCCTGCTCTGCCTCTGGACCTGCAGAGGCCTCAGTCTTCCCCTCAGCTGGCTCTTCATCGTCTGAGGGAGGCAGGTTGATCTCGTCGTCTGAGATCTCAGTGAGTGTCTGTGGCTCTAGAGGGACGCTGGGCTGCTCCAGTGTTTCCATGGCTGCCATGTTTGTAAATCTGCACTAATAAATTCCTGTGTAATATTGTCAGGTCCTATCAGAGCTGCAGCTCCTGACCCTCCTCTTGGTTCTCTGGTCCTTGAAGCAGTTGGAGTGAGTGTGGATGGGAATGCCACAGCAGGCAGAGAAACCTCCAGGCAAGCATCAGCCCACTGTCTTTTTTCTCTCTGGCTCCCCCCTTTTTTCCACTGCACACTTCTCCACTCTGGGCCCTCCCATTCAGCAGGGCCTGGCCAGCCCTGCACCCGCCTCAGTGCTCTGTCAGTGTGTTAGAAATGTACAACCCTACAAGCTCAGGCACAGCTCAAGGAAGGAATGCCCAGATCTGTTTTGACTGCCTTTGTCTCAGCATTATAGTTGTAGATATTTGTCAAACACGTGGGTTCATTAAAAAGAAGGACAGAAGAGCTGTGATAATAAAAATGGAATGACATAACAATAATATTTGAAATAGTTATTGTGCATATTGAAGTGATTCTGCTAACAATGAAGACTTTGCCTCTGACCAGTTCATCCATTTTTATCAACTGCAATAATGCAACATGGTCTAAGATATTCTAAAATTAGAGTTTAATCTTGAACCACAGTGCCAGCCAGTACCCGCATACTTTCATCTATGTCAGCTATTTCTACTTCTTATTAGAAATTATGATGAAAAACACAAGGCATGCCACACTGAAGCGTGGGGCTGCAGTGAAGGGCTCATGTACTCCGTGGGAGTTCCCTCTGGCAATGGTCCAGTGACCTGGGCAGAGCCTTCCACAAAGTGGAGAGTTCAGACCTGACTGACTCAACTCCTGGCCCGATGTGGAGTGTTCCACTCTGCTCCAGTCTGTCTCTGCTCTGTGGACAGCACAGCACTACTTCAGTGTATGGCTCTAAGTGTCACTGACAAGCTATACCAGCAGTGTAGAATAGATAGGTCAATGCAGAAGATTTGGACAGCCTGCAGTAAAAAAAAAAGCGATATTTGCCAGGACCAAGATTTAATAAATGTAATATAAATACAATATTTAAAATTATTTCATTTTATTAGTAAAGATTTTAGTCAGATGTGCTGTGCAGATAGCATTTGGGGACTTTGTATGCACCTGAATTGTTGCATCGTGAATTCTAGAATGCGTATCCACTGGCAAATTTGTTTAGAAATTATACTAGAACAGTAAATGGATCCATCTCAATGCTTAATGATAACGTACTTGAGAGCCCAAAATCAGTTTTCTTGTTGAAGTTATCCTACACTCTCCCACAACAGCATTTTCTCAGAAGCTTTTAATTTAGAAACTTCCGGTTTGAGACCACACATTTCCGGTATCACTTCTCCGCTGCATCAACCGCAGCATCCTCGCAAAACCAGGGGCGGTGGATCACCCGGGCCCGCACAGAGCTCAGCATTTCCGAGGGGTGAGTTAATCACTGGAAACGTACATAGGTCTATTTATTTAGTTAGAGAGGAAATGAGCAATTGTTGCTGAAAAGACGCTTTTGTGCGAGTGATGGAAAGATGGGATATGCTAGGTTTAATCCGCAGCATCATGGCGTCCTTGACAAGGGCAGAGGATGCTGCAAAGCAGGCCTCCGCGATGACACGTCTTCATTTTCGAAATACATTTTTCTGCTGTTCTTAAATGGGCTTTTAACATTATAATGGAGCTTTTTGTAGAATATGATGATCTGTCAAGTGTCATGACCTGCTATAAATATGTCTGCTCTTACAAGGCCTGACTATGAAGAAAAAACAGCACCTTAATCTGTCAGAACCATTGGTCAAGACTAGTCTGAATCTAATGATTAAATAGGAATGAATGGCTTCCATCAACTGGACCTTTAGAGGATACAATTTCATTGTTGTCAGTACAGGCTAAACATTAACCTACACAATATGTAATATAAATCACTTTAGTAGCCTACCAAAATGTACATCAAAAAGTAAATATTAAACATTTGTATGTAGTAGTATGTAAATGTGGAAATATGACATTTTGATGTATTCCCTGACAGGTTGTTGTAGCCGGAGTAGTTTGAACCATGGGGGAGCTGTTCCGCAGTGAGGAGATGACGCTGGCGCAGCTCTTCCTTCAGTCGGAGGCAGCCTACTGCTGCGTCAGTGAACTGGGAGAGCTGGGCATGGTCCAGTTCAGAGATGTGAGACCTTTTGACTCTAGACTCAAGTCTATAGCTGCACTTTGTCTCAAAATTATGGCATTTTAATATGAGCTATGTAATTATTATATTGCCGGAGACTATAATTTTAATACACATGTCAATATATATATATATATATATATATATATATATATATATATATATATATATATATATAAATTATTTATTTTTTTATATATATAAAATTGTGCAGCCCTAATCTGTCCTTTTCACACTCTTGACTGACTAACTAAATCCTGTATATTTACTGCAGCTGAATCCGGATGTAAATGTATTCCAGCGCAAGTTTGTGAATGAAGTGAGGAGATGTGAGGAGATGGACAGGAAACTACGTAAGTATTATGTCTTTTGATAGAATACAGACTTTGAAACATATATTTATAAAGCTATTAACCACTGCCTTTTCCCCATTCAGGATTTGTGGAAAAGGAGATTAGAAAAGCCAACATTCCTACAGTGGACACAGGAGAGAATCCAGAGGTTCCTTTTCCCCGGGACATGATTGACCTTGAGGTAGGCTTTTGAACATTTGAAATGTTTCGAAATATGAATTCCATTCAGAGTACACATTTTTAAACACATCCTGGTGCAAGAAGACCAAAATGAAAACTGCTAAACTGATTCAAAAACTTTAAGAAGCCTAATTTACAGTGTTAGCAAATTTTCTACATAATTAGACATTTAGATTTGATTAATCCATAAAGGATATTACTTGGACACAGTATGCTTAAGCAGTGTGCTGTTGTGTGTCCTAGGCCACATTTGAAAAGTTGGAGAATGAGCTGAAGGAGATTAACACAAACCAGGAGGCTCTGAAAAAGAACTTCCTGGAGCTAACCGAACTCAAGCACATTCTGAGGCGGACACAGCAGTTTTTCGACGAGGTTTGTATATTTCTTGCTCATATCTGGTATCTGGGAAACACTCCCAACACATAATTAAAATGTACTGAACAATGTTTATATCTGATCGTACAGTGCAGGTTTAATAATAAAATCATTGCAATACATTAGACTTTGAGGTAGTAAGCTACTATTTTAGCCACAGCTCGACTGGGGTAGGCTGATGGAGGTGAGACTGCCTGCCAGAATGCACCATTGGCCCCTCTGACAACCACCAGTACTCATGCGCACACCATATCCATCCTAGGCATGGTGGGTAAAGTGTCTTGCGAAAGAACACAACAACAGTATGACTAGAGACACAGCTGCCCTACTATGGCACGTATTAATTAATTAATTATTGCATTTATATAGCGCCTTTCAAGATACCCAAAGCACTTTAGAGTTCATTATTCAATCACCCCACACCCAGTAGTGGTAAGCTACTACTGTAGCCACAGCTGCCCTGGGGCAGACTGACGGAAGCAAGACTGCCAATCTGCACCATTGGCCCCTCCGACCTCACTCACACACACACCATTTTTCATACTAGGCAATGTGGGTGAAGTGTCTTGCCTAAGGACACAACAACAGTTTTTTTTTGTGACTGGCGCCCCACAGTGGCACCTGGAATTCCCAGTGGTCTCCCATCCAAGTACTAACCAGGCCCGGCCCTCCTTAGCTTCTGAGATCTGACGGGATCAGGCTTTGACAAGATGGTATGGCCACATATGTGGCATATGTGGTAAAGCAATAATGCAATTCAAATTAAAGACATATTAACTGACCTCCATGATGTGTTTGTTCTTGTATGAAGCTACATTGATGCTTTTCAAAATAGTTTTTGTAATGTGTAACTGTTTTGCTGTGTAGATGGAGGACCCAAACCTGCTGGAGGAATCTTCTGCTCTGATGGAGGCCAGTGAGGGAGGCCGCGGAGCCCCTCTTAGGCTGGGGTAAGACACATTTTTACAGAAGCTCAACTAACTTTATAATTCTGATGATGAAACAGCCTGAACTGTAGCCAAGTGGCACCTGTATGTTACAAACAAGTTAAAATTTTTTCACAAAAATAATTTAATTTTAGATTTGTCTAGTTTAGATTTATATTAACTGATATGCCTTGAGTATGTGATTCAACATGGAGCATCTAATTTCTTGGTAACTTATAAGAAAACTACTCTTACTGCATTCACGTTTTTAATTTCTTGTCTCAAGATAAATTGCTTTGAAACCAGTCAAAAATGTCATGTAAAAAAATTTTATCATCTTTTTGGGTCATGTAAGCTATTAACTCTAACCTTGTGAAAAATCACTCAAATTAATTTGCATTCTGTATTATTCATGTTATTTAATAATTAGGAGAATTGTTTTATAGAACAGTTGTCTGCTCTGTTGGCTGTAGGTTTGTGGCTGGTGTCATAAGTCGAGAGAGGATTCCCACCTTTGAGAGGATGCTGTGGAGGGTGTGTCGGGGAAATGTCTTTTTACGAAAAGCAGAGATTGAGGACCCTCTAGAAGACCCCACCACGGTCAGTTAACATGTGCATTACAAAAAAGTTTTAAGTTGAGGGAACGGTCACAGCACTGCTCATATTTACCTGATTATTCAAATAAGAACAACAGAATTATAATATAAACAACATAAACAATATAGTGAGGCTTATACCTTTTATTTTGTCACATCTTAGTTTTCTTTGCATGGTATGTTTTTATTTTAATCAGTCATATTTAGTTAATTAAAGACAAATATCTAAATGATGTATTTATGTTTTACAGGGCGATCAGGTCCAGAAATCAGTGTTCATCATTTTTTTCCAAGGAGACCAGCTGAAGAACAGGGTGAAGAAGATCTGTGAGGGGTATGTGTCTGTGAAAGTATTAGGCGCAGACTGCTATTGACAGCTATGTGATACTATTTCTTTATTGTCAATCACAATGAAGTCTTGCAGCTTACATAATTAATGTAACATCTTTAAGTGAAATGGGAAATATTCCATCCCACATAGAGACACTGAGATAACGACAACAGAGACCTGAGTTCAATGCACTGTATATGATAATGTATATGACTGGTTTGCCTCAGGTTTCGTGCCTCGCTGTATCCCTGTCCCGAAACCCCACAGGAGCGGAAGGAGATGCTAGCTGGTGTTAACAGCCGCATTGACGATCTCCAGATGGTAAGGCTTCACTAATTAATGGATGCTGTTGATTTTTTTTATTTTCTACAAATTAATAAAGCACATCTTTTTCATAGCACTTATTTGCTTTGAATTTTGAAAAATGTTATAGAATAATATGATGATAAAGGTCACAAGTGTTTGGATGCACTGGACTGGCAAAACGTCCAGATAATTTATCTCTGATCATATGTAAATGTTTTCCTAATAGTTCAGAATGCATTTGATTCCTGTTTCAAAGGGTATTTGTATTCTTTGTTTGGTGCTGTTGAATACACAAATTAATCTAAACTGGGTACAGCAGGATGTAACTTTGTGTTTGAAGTTGCAGTGATTCAAAGGCTTTACATTGATTCTCTGCCCCAGACCTGCCCTGCTTTTCTCCAATAGGTGCCAGTGTCTAGACTGGCCAGAGTTCACTGTTCCTCTTTGATGGAAAAGTCTCTGATTATTGTTGTTGTTTTTGTATGTGTGATCATATTTATATGATGTCCTGTTCAGGTCTTAAACCAAACTGAGGACCACCGGCAGAGAGTGTTGCAGGCAGCCTCTAAGACCATGAGGGTTTGGTTCATCAAAGTGCGAAAAATGAAGGCCATCTACCACACACTGAACCTGTGTAACATTGATGTGACCCAGAAATGCCTCATTGCTGAAGTCTGGTGTCCTGTCTCAGACCTGGACTCCATTCAGTTTGCTCTTCGCAGGGGAACCGTAAGTCACTCTGCAGCTCTGTAAGGGTCAGATGTTCAAATTAGACTTAGTGTTTTGTGTTTTGCAGGAGAGAAGTGGCTCAACAGTGCCCTCTATCCTCAACAGGATGCAAACCCAACAGACACCTCCAACCTTCAACAAAACCAATAAATTCACATCTGGGTTCCAGAACATTGTTGATGCTTATGGCATTGGGAACTACAGAGAGATTAATCCAGGTTATACAATGAGCTTTAGAGCAATAGTCCAATGAAGACAGGTGCTTGAAAATATATTTAAATGTATGTTTGTGTTTTCCAGCTCCCTACACCATCATCACCTTTCCCTTCCTGTTTGCGGTCATGTTTGGAGACATGGGGCATGGACTGCTGATGACCTGCTTCGCCCTGTACCTGGTCATAAGGGAGAGTCGCCTTCTGGCACAGAAGAGTGACAATGAGGTACAGAGGGACCTAGTTCAGTTTGTATTGTTCTGCTAGTTCAATTGAGAGTACTTAATATCATGTCTTGATTTGCTCCTAGATGTTCAACATGGTGTTTGCGGGGCGCTACATTATTCTTCTCATGGGAATATTCTCTGTTTACACTGGCATCATCTACAACGACTGCTTTTCCAAATCTCTCGACATGTTCGGCTCTGGCTGGAGTGTGCGGCCCATGTTTGGCCCTAAGGGAGCAAACTGGTCGTAAGTTGGGTTAGGGTTGGGTTTTTGCTATGTTAAATATTCCTGAATAAAATCGTATTCCTGAATAAAATAGTAATCCCGAATCTGCATCAGTACAAATAACTGGACTTTTTGTACCATAGGTCTGAAACACTGGATTCAAACTCAGCACTGCAGTTGGATCCAGCTATACCAGGCGTGTTTAATGGACCTTATCCTCTGGGAATTGATCCGGTAAAACTTCACTTAAGCAATCAGATGTTGACTCAGTTATCTGATGTAGTAATGGTCTCTATATGCAGCAGTGTTGATCTTACTTTTCCCATTAAATGGGCTATAAACTGTTCCTTTAGATTTGGAACATTGCCACCAACAAACTGACCTTCCTCAACTCGTTCAAGATGAAGATGTCTGTGATCCTTGGTGTGATTCACATGATCTTTGGAGTGTCTCTGAGCCTGTTCAACCACATGTGAGTCCCACTGCCACCCAGCTTGCATTGACTCTTACATTTAATTTCATTTGTTTAATTATTCGTTTGACACACAAACTTAGTGGCATCTGGATGAAGTCTGAACACGTTTATGTGGAAACCCTTGTTTGAAGAAGGCTTATATTTAGGGAAGTTATTTATTACTGTAGTAATGTGTCTAATCTATCTAATGTATCAGTGTGATTGCAATTTTTTTTCAGCTTGTTAAGATTATGAAAGCATAAATGACTATGGGGAGCTACCATAATCTCCTCTATTAATGGGAAACATTGCTATCTGATATTTACTTCGAGATTACTGTCTATATAGGCTGTAAAATAATACAGTTGAATAGCTCTTGAAGAGTTGGTTAAATTGAGTGAGGGGTTTAATCTTTCTCTTTGTCATCACAGGTACTTTAAGAAACCCCTGAACATTTTTCTGGGGTTTATTCCAGAGATAGTCTTCATGTCCTCTCTCTTTGGCTACTTGGTTCTATTAATCTTCTACAAATGGACCGCATATGATGCCTACAACTCTAAAGACGCCCCCAGCCTTCTCATCCACTTCATCAACATGTGTCTGTTCAACTACAATGACCCTACCAACAAGCCTCTGTACCGGGGACAGGTGCACTCTCCCCTTCCTCTCTCCCTCTCTCCCTTCCTCTCTCCCTCCCTCCCCACACTTAACCAGCACATAAATATTCAGGATACTTCATTCAAGGAAAAAGACTGTGTTTATGGATAGTAGCTGTTTTTAGATACAGTTAATTCAGTTAGCGTACATTGAATTTAGATAAGCTGACAGCTCATACTGTAACAGAAAAAAGAAAAAAGATGATTTCCTAAGTTGAATTCATTTAGTCAGTCACCACACTCCACTAGGCAGCATATAAAAGTATTTAACATGTTGTATAACTCTGTGTGTTTAATTTATAGATGGGGATCCAGGTGTTGTTGGTCCTGATTGCCCTTGCATGTGTCCCCTGTATGCTGGTTGTTAAAACTATGGTGCTTCGGCGACAGCACCTGTGGAAAAAGCACCTGGTATGTCAGTCCTCGCCTTCTACATTTTTGCTTGCATTAACTTTCTTCATTCCTCTTCTGCCATTTATGTCATTGCACATTTTCTAACATTAAGAGCAAGGTTTCAATGCCATGAAAAACAGTCCTTAAAGGGCACTTAGTTACAGTAGCTGTTGATACTAACATTCCATTTTAGGAGCCCTTCAGTACTGGGGGCTCAGTGCATTGAAAAAGGCTCAGGCTTGCTTTAAGCTGGACACAGCTTTTGTGGCTTTTGTATCTAGTCCCAGAAGAGGGAAGAAACCCCTGCAGAGAATCTAGAGCAGTCTTTAGAGCAAACAGGCGTGTCCTCATCATCCACCGGACTCCCCCAACAGGGCACGCAGAAGCTCGGAGGTGTGCGAGTGGGCAATGGGCCCACGGAAGATGAAGCTGGCATCATGGACCACGACCAGCTGTCCCATCACTCAGACGAGGGGGACGATGTAAGTGTCACACACTCAGAAAGCTCAATTAGACATACAGATGACCTTTCAAGTTACCCTTGAAACAATTTTCTAAATATTGTCTTATGATGTCATGTAAAACTCTGAGTCTGCCAGTGCAGAACTTTCTTTGACTTGCAGTCACAAAGTAGATCCCTCACAACTTCCCTCTCATTTAGATTGTTACAGTTCTAACTTTCCTTTTTGTTTATATTACAGCACACTGTGGAAGAGCCAGTAAGTACACATCTCACACCTCACCTGGTTTTATTATACACATACACATGTAAGGAAAGAACAGTTCATGTAACACGCCAACACCTTTGACTTTTTGAGAAGAAACAACAATGGCCTCTTCCATGAACTCCTTCGAACTCTCACATGAACAAAGGAGGAGCATAAAAAACGGAAACTTATCTTGCCAAGTCAAATCCACAAAGAGTGTAAGCTAGCATTATGTTCCTCTGTTTTTACCTGACTGTTCCAGACCGGAAAGGGCTTGTGTTGCTCCAAGAGAGAAAGCCAAAGAATGTTGTTCAAATACTTTTAAAAAGATAAGCAGGCTGGTGTAAGGAAATGGCTTCTTAATTGATATATTTGCCTGTTGAGATAGCACCAAACCCATTCACACAGCCTTTAGTCCAAGTATATTCTATGCCTACCTGTGTGTCCATAATTTTTACTGTTGTGAAAATGTTATTAATGGTGTTATTTCTCGGCAGTTTAATTTTGGAGATGTTGCGGTCCACAATGCCATTCACACCATTGAGTACTGCCTGGGCTGCATCTCCAACACAGCCTCCTATCTGCGCCTCTGGGCTCTCAGCTTGGCTCATGCACGTATGTCTGCAAAGTTTCTAAAACTACAGATAGGAGCTTTACCACAACACTGTGTTTGACGAGTGTCTCACTGCCCACAGAGCTGTCTGAGGTCCTCTGGGGGATGGTTATGCGCCTGGGCTTGTCCTCGCGCAGTGGAGGGGGCTTTTTTGGCCTGTCAATCATCTTCTCAGCCTTTGCCACGCTCACAGTTGCCATCCTTCTGGTCATGGAAGGGCTATCCGCCTTCCTGCACGCCCTACGTCTGCACTGGTAAGGAACTTGCAAATATTTACTTCATTGGGTGAGGCCAATACAGTTATCCCAGAAACGAAAACGCAGCCTTACAATATGAAATTATGGATGAATTTAAAGGGCCTGTATCTGATTTCAAACCATGAGTCAGGAGCATGTTTTAGTTTGACCTTTTAGCCCCATGCACTTAGTCTTTTCTGCCACTGATATTGCACCATTATTTGATTGGCCTAAACCCTCTCAGTAGCTTCTGTATTAGTTATTATGTGAGAAACTGTATTAAATTCTACAATTATTTTATTATTAAGCTGTTTTTACTATTCAATGCATGACTGAAAGAGCGTTTATCTTGACAAGAATAAATGTTTAAGTGTTTCTTGCAAACTGAAAACACTCTGTTCCATCTTGTGATCTCATATGGTAATTCAGGAAACGCTCCACTCTGTTTTTAAAATCCACACACCTTTACTAGAATCATTTGGATAATTTCAACCCCCAGAATTGCCTGTTTCTGTTAAATAAGATACAAAAGATAGCTGACTTGAAAACTACTGCTTCATGATGTCACAAGGTGGAACAGAGCATTTTGAGCTTTGGACATGTAGACGGACTCAGAGTTACACAAACATGTGTGAATCAAACAAAATACAACTCCGGGCATGTTTGTCATGAGGTAACAACATTATAACATGACTTAAAGCTCACAAGAGTAAATTTTGCTTAATATTGGACCTTTAAACTTAGGTAAAGGTCCTAATTTTACTGTAAGTATTAGAATAACAAGCTATCAATGTGTGTTCACTCAGGGTTTCCTCCCTGATAATGTATAATATCAGACCAATCTGACCATGTGTGAAAAGATACATGAATTGCTGGCTGATAGTGCTTTGACAGTACAGTTGAATGTACTCCGTGCCATCGCCGCCCAGCACCGCCTTCCTCTGCTCATACCACTGTCCTGACTCATATTAAAACCCACAGGCTCTGAAGCTATTTACTACTAACTCAATAAAGATGCCAAGTTGTTTAGTAAACTGAATTATGTTACCCAGTATACCCACTATACAGCCTAAAGCTCATTCTACATCCATTAATACGGTCTGGTGTTTTACAACATGCAAAGTAACATAGGAACCATGGGAACCACAGGAACCATAGTTAAAATAGTAGTTGCCTGGTCAAAGATAGGTCTTTTTTATCTTCCCAAAGTAAGTTATCAAAAAGCAAGTCCTCTGTGACTGGGAGTGTGAGCATTTGGTCTCTGGAAAGGTGAAAGGTTAAAGGTTGTAGGAAAGTATTTTTCACAGAGTTAAGTAAATAGTGGTTTTCAAAGTGTAGCCTGTTCACACATAAATGCTGATGAGCTAGCTGTACGAACACACGCTCTCCCCACACTCGCTGAGGTACACAGTCTTCAACCAAATCTAAACCAGGACTAGACTAGGGAATAAATTGGGACTACACCAGGGCTAAACTAGGGAGTAAACCAAGACTACACCAGGACTAAACTCTAAGGACTAAACTAGGAACTAAACCGGGACTACACAAGCACAACACCATAACATCATTTAATCATATAATTAATCAAGGACAAAACCAGGACTACACCAAGATTAAGGCTCAATCCCAGTTCTACCCCTTAGTCTTTTGTGCTAGCCCTACCCCTTCATTTTGCGCATTCACAAGACAAGGAGGATTCAGTATTTAAACCAGGACTAATGGAATACTACGTTAGGACTGATCTACACACTACACCGGGATCAAATCAGGCCCAAACAAGGGCCTTTTCAAAGATATATGAGGATTAAATGAAGACTAAACCAGGATTACACCAAAAACAAATTTTGGATTAAACTAGGATTAAAACAGGTTAAAACAGGACTCAACCAAAAACATGTGTTTTTGTTTTTCAGGGTGGAGTTCCAGAATAAGTTTTACTCAGGGCAAGGCTTTAAATTTGTCCCATTCTCATTTGAGAGTATCCTGGAGGGTCGCTTTGACGAGTAGGTACCCTATAGTGCAGACCGAAGACCCTGCTAAATGTGCATGAACCTTCCTGATGCCCTCTTCTGCCTCCTAGTGGTGATTGTGGTGCTTGTTGTAACATTGTGTACAAGTGACAACCTTCAACAGTGTTTCCTATCATTTATTGTAGATCATCCAAAATTTATGCTGTGAACAATTAAAAAACAATTGAAAAATCAATTACATTCGATTAATATTCATTAGATAATCAAAGGGACTAGCTAACTTTAATAATCCCATTACCCAGAGCAGAGTCAGTGTTACAATTATCTGAATGTTTTTACAATTCAGTCAATCAATCATTTTGTAATTCCTTTTTTATGTTATTTTACCAAGAAATCCCTTGTGATCAGTCTCTTTTTCAAGGGAGATCTGGAGACACAGGATATTAACTTAAACATTATTTATTTGATTTAAATGTATGTTGTCTTTCATTTCGACATAGGACATTGAAAGGAAATAGGATAACGAAGTCTTCATTATATTTTTATTTATCTATTTATTTATTTATTTATTGGTTGTTATTATTTGCACATATCAAATGTTCAAAATTAAAATCACCTGTCAATTTAATAGAAATTGTATTTGTATATGAAATGATGAATACAATAAATAAATACAATCTATGTGTGAAATATAGTGTGATTGTGTCTAAAGAGAAGTATGTATGTGAACCATCAGCGTCTGGAGTCAGTTCTAGTTTGGACCAGTCCTTTCCCAACAGTACTGTGCTATGATTGAGCTGTCAGTCTATGATTTTCAATAAAGTTACGCTGATTGATTTTGTGTCCTGTCATTTCTCCCAGGTTTTGAGTCTGAGGTCTTCTATCAAATAATTCAAACAAAATACTGCTAAAATATACTGAATTATTCTTTATAGCTTCCTTGACCAAAACAGAAATGTGTTGAAAAAGATCAGGCAAAATAATGATTTTTGAATCTTTAATTATTTTTATTTGACTAATAATAGGTTAATGCATATGTTGCATATTTTTTGATCGGGTACCTCTAAAATAGACTTTTAATGGAGTACGTTTATATGAATTTTGGATCTTCCAAAAGCCAGGTGACTGCATTCATCTTCTATGTATTTATTTTTTGTAATAATTCAAACTGTTGTTATTCATAAGTAGTTTATTCTGTGTAAAAGTCAAATCTTACAAAATTGAGCCATGCTGCAACAAACAGAACGCCATCAATGACACTTAATACAACCCAACATTTGGCTTTATTTACAAAGTCTATCAAAGCGCCATCACAGCACGAACAGACAGAAGAGACCAGTTTCACTATCAAAACATGTACAAATCTCTAACCACTATATACTTCAGTACCTCAGATTCTTTAGAACTATTCACATGTTTTCTGTCATTTGTATCCAAAATAAATTGTGCACCATAACTCATCTCAATTCTTTTCAGACAGTAATATTCCCATTACATTAAATCATTTTATCAAATATATATATGTAGATATAGATGTGTGTATATATTTATATATATAGCACCACAATAATGGTTGAATATAATAAGGAGGGGATGTCACATACAAAAGACCCGTGTTAGTATCAACAAAAACAAACAAACTCTCCACTGCTCTTTCGCTCCAATGGAAACCAATCAATTTTGAGTTACAATGATGGTATACAAGAACATTTCAGTAGTTGTTCACAAGTATCTTTTTGGTTGCGGGGGCTTCCATGTGTAGGGGTCACAGAGAGAGGGACAAAGACTTAACGCAAACAACAAGCACATAATGAACACACAAGCACAAATCACAATGACTCTGGTCCAGACAAATGCAAGGCCAACTTCAACAGAGCATCTGTGAAACACATAAACAAAATGGTTACTAGGTCTTAAAGAAAGTTTTAAAAGCACCTTTTTTAAAATCACCAAAAAAAAGATGTGCCTCTGATATTAGAAATGCTACAGATTAGGTCAGTAGAGTTCAAAAAGTCCAGGGTTTGTTCATTATTACACAATATTAACTCAAGTAGCATTGATCGGATAATAGACTTCATAGAGTATTGTCTGGGATGTGGGCTCCAATGTATTGTGTTGTAGTAATTCAGTGTGCTGGTGACCTGACAATGAAAATAGCTCCATCCTCCGCATATTTTACACCAAATATAATGTTATTCTACCAATACACAACTCCAAACCCAGATAAATGGCAACAAAAGGGGGGTATTATGAGTAAAGCTACAAAACGGAGACCTGAAGGTATATGGGGACACATTAGAATAAATTATTGTAAATCTTCAACAATTTTCAGTGTCATAGAGTGATCAGTCCTTTTTTTGTTTTGAAACAGAAACACAGTCATGTTGTTTCGGCCTATAAAAGGTGTGTAAGAATCTGCTTAGTTCTGTTCAATGAGTCAACAGGCTTACAGGAAGTCCATTGGATTTTCCTGATGCCTCCTGACCCAAACTGGCCTTGCATTTGACCCACTAGAGAAGGCCCACATTAGTATACAGTTATATGACCTATTGGACCCATTAGAAAGGAAGATATGAATAATAAAAAAATATATGAGGCAAAGGTTAGCCATATTGAGAACTGAAATTTGGGGATTAACTAAAGTTTTACCAACATCACAAGCAGCAGTTTTGATTGTGCATCATTTGGGTTCATCTGCAGGAGGCTAGCAGCACAGATTCAACAGTCTTATTTATTTCTGTACTAAGATTTTTTATTAATGCTCTTTAGCGCCCTTTCTGGAGCCTCAGTGATTCTGCTGATTGTGACATAGGCTTTATTGCTCATTTGGTCTTAAAATAGTTTTCCTACATCTGACCACTCCCAACATGTCAGTAATCGTAACTAGTCAATTTACATGGACTAAACAGGGTAAGGGACCTTACACAATTACAAAAGAAGCAACATTCATTCCTGTTTTGAAACACAAAATTATGATCAACTTCCAATGTTTTCGACTGACTTTTTAAATATTTTCTAGCTAATGAGCCCATTTTCATGTGGTCCCTCTATGTTAGCTTTAGATGAGAAAAAACATCATGGAGACAATACACAAATGCACAGACAAAATAATATTACACATACAACAATCAATCTGCAATAAAAGGCCATTCAAAATGTCACACAAAACTGGCCCAGAATTTTATATAGTTTTGACTGTGTATTTCAACGCCTTTTAAATATAAGCAAAGGGTCTATTAATATATGAATGATTCAGCCATTAAGGCAAAACACAAGCATAAATATAAAATCAGGACGATCTGTTAATGATTCTCAATAGAGCATTTTTCAAGAGCATTTTTTCTTTTTTAGTACAATATTTTTGTTAACAACTTCATATTTCATATCTAGTTGAGGATGTAAAATTTGAACCATAATTCAGAAAGGAAGTCATGGAACCCTTGATCAAATAACAAACACAAAACATCTTTAATACATCATCATTATCACTTCTATAAAAGTCTTTTTTATAAATTTTATGTAGCTTACATATAACTCCATAGAACAGATGCACGTGATCATTTGAGCCAATGTAACAAAGAAATCTTCCTGAGAATTGAATGAGGAAACCTTACTGGTAGAGATAGGATTTCTTAGCATCTTCTGCCGCCAATATAAGACATTTGTCCAACATTTATTTATTACATCATCTTGATAGGATAAATCTTGATAAACTCTGAAATCTCTACTTATTGCATATGTTAATGTTGTATCAGATTTCACGACTACCTCATGTGCTGTCATACAATTTGTTGTTTTGGCGTTATTAGTTACGTAAATCTTTTCTTCTTTTTTTTGCATATGCCAACACACACATTTAGCTTGTGGCTAGCAATTAGAGGTAGTACAAAACAGCTGCAGAGATCACACTATAGTTTTCTCCATACCATCACAGTCAAAAATGTATTTCATATTTTTTATACTTTTATATATGACTCTATTTAAGCCCAGTATTTAACAGTATAGTATGAATGCTGCCATAACTATAGAAAAAGCAGTGCATTGTTCATTATTAACCAAGCTGTAATTCTGTGGCTCAGCTTTGAATCTAGCTTGCATACACGTGGCACCCATATGAAAACGCCCACTGAATTCCTCCCCATAGTTTTTGCATTTCTATTGAAAAATATGTAAATGCTACACATGCGGATGCTGCCAACGTCTCCAGTGTGTCACTTTAGATTAGGTGTTAAGATAATAGGTTTAAATAATAAAACATGTTTAATAATTTCATCTGAGAACTTATTTTAGTGTTGATTTGAAGAAAAGGCTTCACTAATTAGTTTTGCTACTACAATAATGATCACCTTGCACTTTGGCATGTGATACTTAACTAAGTTGGTTTCTGCACACAACCTCAATAACTGGTTGTTTAGCTCTTAACAAAATGTCATAGCTCCTGCGTAATTTAAAAGGGCCCATGTTACGCTATTCTATGTTCACAAACATACCTAGAGTTTTATTTTGTTTTGTTCACACACAAATCCTGCATATTCTTCTCTCAAACTGAAAACACTCTGTTGTACCTTGTGATGCCATGTGGTAATAGAGGAAGTGCTCCACTGTGTTTTTAAACTTCATGCACCTTCAGTAGATTTATTTGGATGATTTGAGCACTGGAACTGCCAATCTCTACTGAACAAAAAGGTAAAACTAACTTGAAAACTATCACTTGATGATATCACAAGGTGGAACAGAGCATTTTGAGCTTTGGAGATGTAGACAGACTAATAATAAAGGGTTACTCAAAGATGTGTGAATGAAACAAAACACAACACCAGGTATGTTTTGATTAGGAAAGAACATTCTAACATTGCTTAAAGCTCACAACAGTCAATTTTGTGTAATATAGGACCTTTAGACAGTTGTGACACACTTGGGACCAGGTGAATTGTCCTCTCTTGCCTGCCGTAGTGTGGACGTGAGAGAGTTCTGTAGAATCAGAGGTCCTTATCACACCAGTAAGGTTACGCTATCACCATCTGCCAACAACAAACATGTCATGTGCCGCATGTAGTCGTGAGCATCTCTGACCAAAATGAGTATACACAAGGCAGTGCTCCTTTTACTGGGACATTTAAGGACTTTAAAGGCACACTATGTAACTTTTTTGGTGGAGGGTCCGCTACTGACTTGTCTCCATGGAAATGCTACTGCTTTGTCTAGAATGTTCCACAGTATAAATTAAATCGATATATCACAAGGAGACTTGCCCCTATTCATAGAAGGAATTATTGAATTTTTGAGCAATGGAAATACACATAATGAGTAAATGCTATATGGAAATGTTTAAAGTCATACCATGGAACATCCAATTGCAAGCAATAACATCTCCAGGGAGACAAGCTGGTGGCATATCCTCCACCAGAAAAGTTGCGCAGTGCATTTTTAAGCAAGATGGCCCACTCATACTTCCATTGCAAGTTTCAAATTGTGCAAGATAGAAAATGTGTTATTACATGTATTTCTAACAATTTAAAGACATAATTTTTTTTTTTGGTTGTTTTTTAGTTTTTTAGGAATTTTCTATCATGTTTGTTATAAAGCCAGACTCCCAAGATGCTCTGAAGAATTTGCTAGTGGCAGCGTAGGTTAATAAAGCAGCATTCCTCTGGTCTGATATCGTGGCAGTTGATTTGTCTGGAAGCTAAAGTTTTCTGTTGTCCCCAGATTTTTGTGCCGTCATGTTTGTTCAGAAAGATGCAGCGACTTGGATCAAAAAGAAACTGATGATGATGAAGATGAGCAGCTTTGTTCTTACACCACATGCTGTAATGCCTGTTGTCTATAGACCCTTTAAAAGCTATGGTATCACAAAGTTCAAAAGTCCAGAATGGAGGTGACCGGAGGCAAAAAGGAACTGGGCCATAATTTCACTATCTTGATTCAATGATGATCTTCAGAGTAAAAATAAATACGCAACTGTTAGAATTTTGAAATGTCAGTTTTCATTTAAAAAAACTAAAACCTTCTAGCCTCAAAATTGTATTTAAACTCCACAAAAAAACAACATAATTTGTGAAAAAGGATGTTTTTTTTATATATATATATATATGTCATAAAATTCTAAACTATTGTGGGGTAGTATTTGTACAGTAAATCCTAAAGTAATAAGGTTTTGCCTTCATTAAAAATGCTCAGTATCTATTGCAGTCTCCATTAAATGAACAAATAATGTTTATAATTGGAAATCTCAGGTTCTGATATCACATGTATCGGTGTGACTACCATTTGCCAAAACTACCTAGATTTGTTTTATATTTTATGATATTCGGTGGTTAATCCAACACTTCACCTTTGCATCCAGTTTCCTCTATTCTGGAATTCAGAATGATTTTGTTTCCAAACTTTTAAAAGGTCAATAGTTCCATCTGAATTCATATACTTTGTGAATAGAATCATCTTTAAGAAACATGGAGCTTTTCCCACACAGCCACAAAAGTCATGTAAAATAACGTCAGGACATAATGAATCATTACAAAAGATATTCAAGTACTATGAACAAAACAATAGTCCATCAGGCAATATAGTCCATAAGAAAACAAAATATGCACAAGTGTTGGGTCAGCTCCAAATCTGCTCTGACCAAAGGGAATCCTGTGTGTCTGACTCCGAACCTGACGAGACAAATGTAAAAAACAAAAGTGAAGAGCTGGCTCAAAAGATGATCCTCACAGTTTGGACAGGTCTCCAGAGGCTGACGGAGAAACCCGCATTTGTTCGAAGCCTTGTTCTTATTGGTCCACCATTCACCAGCAGAGGACCACCCGCTGCGTAGAGTCTGCTGGGCTGGCCCCTGTGTGGTGGGCTGCCCGCCTGCCTCAGGGCTCCTGTTTGATGTAGTAGCTGCCTGAGCCATTGCTCTCCTGGTCTGAGATGGTCTGGGAGAAGGTGAAGTCATCCACCTCGGCGGCCTCCTCCTTCATGCGCAGTGTGGACTCTGCACAGGAGCACAGCACACACTAGGCTCAGTACACAGCACAACTTAGATAACCAGCATTTAGACACTGAACAAGGACAAGTCGACACAGGGGGAGTTTGAAACCTCATGAATCAATGAGCCACTCTGAAACTCCTACACACACTCCTTGAAACACTAACTATAATAGAAAATAGCGCTATCTGTTGGCTGACTGCCAGAACTGCATATGATAGAAATACATTAACAGAACCAAAATGAGGCTTCATTTGCAAAGGTCACATGCTTTGAAACACTCACTCAAAACCATCCTCTTAAAAAGATCAAAGCCTTTGTCAAGCTGCTAAATCGAGCTAGTAGCACTGTAGTAAACACTGGACCTATCCTCAAGCTTATGCCAATAGGGCATACATTTTAATAAATATATAACAGAGAAACCTACATAATAATGTAAGATTGGGTAACATTGCATTTCATCATATTTGAACATGTTTCAAGCTATTTAAGTTGTTAAGTTAAGTTAGGTTGTACTTCTCCTCATCACATCTTATTTTTTATTAGCAGCATCTCCATAGTCAGTGTTTTAAGTCGCTCCAGGATTTAACAACATTATTTTGCCACAATGTCTGTCCGCCTCCCCTCACAACTGAGAAGAAAATCAACTGCAGTGCACATTAAATTTGATCACAATATACCAGTTTTCACATCGTTCCCAAATATATCAAGATATCTGACCAGTGATGAGCCCCTGCCCTAAACATTTGTTGTAAATGTTGTATTCATAAGAATTTTAAACCAGTTAATTTACTAATGCACAATAAACTCTTCCTCTCCTTGTCAACAATCTTTAGACGTCTTTTTGTGATTAAGACTCAAACCTGCCAAATAATCATTTTATTCATTTTTTTTGAAGTAGAACTAACACTTAACATGTGAAATAAGCACAAAAATCACACAACATAAGCACATAACAAGCTCACACAAATAGTTATGCAGAATCTTATAAACATCAACACTCCTGTATCATTAATGTCAATTAATAAAGAAGTAAAATAATACTTCAACTGGAAAAATGCCTCAACCAACAATAGTTTTAGAGGTGCACTCTGTAATTTCTCCGGGTGGTAGTGGAGATGTTATTGTTGTGCCTGGAATATTCCACAAGATGGTATCAAACTTTAAAATCTAGCATTTATTTAGAATTACAGAATAAATGCTAGATAAATAAATGCTCTTACAGTGAGCAGACTTACATCTCCCCAGAACTAACATGTAACTGGTGGCATCACCTGCTCAAATCCATGAAGATTAATATTTAATTCCATACTGTAGAACATTCTACAGTATGGCATTAAATACACAAATTCACAAAAAGCTGATGCAGAACTTCTACTAGGAAAATTATGCAGTGCACCTTTAACATAGAATAAGTAAGCCTGTCAAAACAACTTTTGAATAATGTGTGAACAGTTCACCCAAACTTTTGTTCTTTCCTAAATGCTTTTTGCTGTTATCAACAATAAGAAAATTATCCTACAGAGACCATCCAAAGCCCTTATGGGAGCATGAATTCCTCCCTCTCTCTAAGTTAGTCCATTTCATTCAGCAGTCAACATCACCTGGAGCATGCACCTGGTGAGACCAGGTCTGTCTCCACAGTAGGGCCACAGTTAGAGGATAGTGTGCCTTTACCTGATTTGAGCATTTGGTAGAGGTGTTTTCGGGGCTCACTGGGCCCCTGGTTGGGATAATGAGGTGGACTCTGCTCTTCATCCCCTGAGAAGCTCCTCCTCCTGCCTGTCTGACTGAAGGACTGTCGCCCAACCGGGATCTTCCTCTCTAAACATTAAGCCAGACGGAGTGAGCTGCCAGGGGCTCAGTCAGGCTCACTGGAGCCCTGATCAACCGTACTGTGCCGACCAATTGAACACATGCACTGCCTGCTTCAGTGCTGCACAAACCAGCCACACACTCCTGTTATAGCTCCTGCTATTTGCAAAATAGCAGCTTGTCTGGATATTAACTCACTTGAACAAAGGCATGATAACTGACCCACTGTATTTTATTAGAAAAGGCTGGTTTACTGCAGATGAGTCTGAAACCCACAGTGCACTGCTCACATTTAGTGCTCAGCTTGTTTTCTGTTCCCACATTCTCTCTTGTTTCCCGTGGCAACCTCTAGGTGTGTTAATGTCTATCCTTTCCATATCAGTCACAACGTGAACCAGACTTCAGACAAATTAGTACACCCACAGCAGCACCCAAAAGTGAAAAACAGTTATGTCAATGTCAAAAAACAGTTTAAACTAGTGTACTCACTTTTCTTTTGGCCTTTGTACTGAGGAGCCTTCTTTTTCTGCTTAGGCACAGATGCAGCAACGTCTCTGTTACCTGAGGAAGACGCGTCACAATGTTAGTGTTACAAAAATGAGCAGGTTTGTCAGTTTTTAGGTATAACTCACAAGGTATTTTAGTGAATTTACTAACAAAATCAAAAAATGAATGTTTTAAACAGTAATCAAAAATTACTGTGCTGAAGGATTTGCTTTATTATTTTTGACAATAGCTCATCCTAACTCTAAACATTCAGGTTGAGTTAAAATAATGGACAGTTAATTAATGTCTAGGTCTTCAGTGCGGGTCTTACTCTGTGCTGCAGGGGGCTGCAGCTGGTACCCCGTCAGTTGACACCAACCCACAGGGTACAGGTCTGGAGACTCACAGTCCACCCACTGGTCATACTCATCCTCCCAGCCGTCAAAATGGATTCTCAGTAAACGATGCACAATCCTGGTCACCGTGGCGACACACCAGCCTTGGCTCCATCAGATCCACCGCCTCCAGCTTCATGCCTTGTCGAAAGCCGTGGTTGGGCACCTCCTATAAAGGCACACAGAGAAATAGCATGGTAAGCAGATTAGATGAGCTTAGAAGAGTAAATCATTAATTCAATTGTGCAATTAAGACAGAGGGAGGCTATGTAAATACCTTGTTAAAGAGCTTGACTGGAGCTGCTATGGAACCTGTTTCTCTGAGGTAGTCAAACCATTTAAATGGCAATTTAGTGTACCCTAAAAGAAAAAAAGGCATGAATGTAATAAAAAGTAATAAATATGTTCTTTGTTGCATTTAGTCTTTATTTCAAATGTGTACCTCTTGGGGGAGTCAGATCGATCTCATTGATTTCACAGAAGCCGGCGGGGAAAATGGAAGGGGACGTGCCGTGATAACAAAACCAATCAGACCCGTCAAGTGCCTCTGAACCGTCTATTCCGATCATCACATAACCGTCTGCCAACACCTGCAACAGCCCAGCACAGTCAGAGGGGAGCGCTCTCCTCTCTCGTGTCTCAGGACACTCACCTTTCTGACAGTGGCTACGCAGATGGCTGAGAGGTTGAGCGGATCGATAGCTTCCAACTTCATCCCGTCTTTAAACCACTCTCCACTTTGGTCCACATCTTTCACCTGTTATTAAAATGATTTCATAACTATATGGTTTGGGAGAGTATTGTACGTAGCAAAAAGATAAACTTTTATTTGGCCACTGAGATGTGCAATGACATGAGAGAAGGATGTAATGTCTACAACATTTATAATATACAATTCATGTTTAAAGAACAGTGAACCACCTTTTGAAAGAGCTGTGGTGGAGCATCCCTCTGACCATCCATTTTCTTTGTAACATCTGAAAAACAAAATTAAATCAAATTGACTGCATTCATAATTTAAAGAGCTTAATAAATTAAAAAAACATTTACGTTTGCATCCCTTTGATAAAATGTACTCCAATTCTATATAGCTATTACATTAAAATACTGATTTGCTGTTATTCCTATTTATTTAAAATGTTTATTTACAAAACATTGTTCCAGTTTAAAGTGCAGCCCAGAGCTAATTTGCAGCCAGTCCCTGTAACAAACAATACAATAAGGACATCCAGTACATGTAGCACAATGCTCTTAACTTCTAATGTTCACAGGTTTAACTTGATTCAAGCTATAGTTTGACCTTACAGTTTAACAGGTCCAGATCTGTGAGAACTTTCAGCTGAACAAATGAAGTCTTACATTTGATTGGTCTGCAATTGCAGCAATATCTGGAGTAAAGCCACTGATATACTTAAAAACCTCTCCTTGCTCCCTCTTCTGAGCCCTGTTCCATGCCAAATCTCAGTGGGACTTTCCGGTCACTTGCTGCCTAAGGTTATTGCCCCAGCCATTTCAAACTAAAGCCTTATTGTGTTTGACCCACCAGAGCGTTTGAATCGGTGTCCGATGGAGCGGGACCAGCCAATGTTGTGAATGAGTGGGCTGTACATGTGGCACCAGAAGTCATCAGAGCCGTCCTCGCTCTCCTCGTAAACGAGCCGCAGACGCCCCCCAATCACCTGCTCCACCAAAGCCACCCGGGTTCTGCACAGGTAGTTCTTATCCACCACCTCTACACGCATCAGCTTCTTAAACGGGAACTGCATGTTCTCGTGAACCTGAGGAAAATAAAGAACACTATAAGGTCAAAACATGATATATAAACTGGTGGTCATCATTTGAGCGCCAACTTCACAAATAAAGTACAGGTAGGTTAATAGGCAGCAGGGTGACTGAACTACCACCACCCCCAAAAAGGCACAACAGTTTAAAAAAAAATCTCCAGCTAATGAAGTCCTGATCAAACCTAGCTCTTGATCTAGAAATGGGTCACTGCTGTTCACACGTTCCTTCAGTAGCATTGTAGAAGGGTTTAAAATGAAAGTTATGTTTTCAGGAGCAGCCGTCAAAAAATTGGTGCGTTTAGTAAAAAAGATTAACCTTGGTGTTGAAGTCCGGTGGCAGTGTTTTTGCTCCAGTGAGACGCTTTACCAAAATGGCCTTCCAGTTTGAGTATTTGTGTTGAATACCTAAAAGCGATATCAAAAACAACAACACAAAGCTCTTGTTTATTGCATTCCTCAAGCTCAGTTCAAGGATTAATTCACTGATATAAAGATATATACTAATCTTTTAAAATTACACGTTTCCAGAATGATAAAGACATAACTAACTTTTAGGAGGTACAAGGGGTTTGCCGCTAGAGGCACACCATCCAACAGGGTGCACCTCAGGGATACAGAGGTTACACCAAAAGTCTTTACTGTTGTCCCCATCAAAGCCCTCGTAGCGAAGCAAAGCCTTGAAGCCTGCAGAAACAGGAGCAGAGTATGGTAGTTCAGTATAGCACAGTTTTACAAAGCTTACTTTCACTGACCAAAAAAAACAACACAAGAGACAGTTTGCAAACTAGAGAAATCTAGTAATCTTTCAATAAGTCAGCTGTTTACTCATGACCAAAAACAGTATTATCTGAAATCACTTACAATATAATAATTACATTAATCCACTAAAGTTCTATACAAATCATCCTTATAATTTACCCGCCAGTTTGATGATCTCTGCGATCCAATAGACTTTAGTGGAGAGATTGGTATCAGAATTGATAACCTCTAGCCTCACTCCTTCAGCGATGCCTCCCCAACACGTCCCCATAGGTGCCTGCCACAAATAAGTAAATGCATATCAGTGAGGTGAAGGCCATAACTCTTCATATGGGAGAGTGATGTCGGCTTACATGTTTAAAGCAGCTGACGGGAGCTCCTTCTGTGTTATTGTTGCAGATGTAGTGTCCCCAGTCAAAGCTGTCTGCTGCTACAACTGGGATACAGAGAAACATGATTAGCACACAGTTTGATTTGTTGTCTTTATTGTTTATGGGCACACACCGGCTTTTGACTTGGCCTGGTTCTGTTGACTTGCTTGATATTGAGCATAGGCGGCCAGCTTTGCCATAAGAGGTTGCTTCTGTAAGACTTTCGCCTTCTTTGTTGGTGGTTTGCCCTTAGGAAAGAAAAAAAACATTTCAATATATCACAGAAAATATGGAGAATCTGAAAAAGGGGATGAAACGGATAGTTTGGCCAAAGTCAATAATACTGTCAATCTGGACAATGAAAATTAGTTTTAATATCTGACCAATATTATAATGTGTGACTGTGAATGGTTTGGAAGAAGGGTTCAGACGTGCAGATTGGTAGGCACACTTGTGTCAGTCTGCCCCGGGGCAACTGAGGAAGAGTTGATGGTGATTTCTTTTAGATGCAATGAGAATTACCTGGAGTCTGGCCAAAATGCTGGCTTTTTTAGAATTTGAGGAGTAGCTTCTAGAACATGAGACGCTGCAGAAACGCTTAGTTTTTGAATAGAATGCGTCCCGCACTCCAACCATCCCACACATCTCACATGTTGCTGGGAAAGAAAAAACAGCAATACAAAAAAATAAGTACAAGTAATAATATAATCACATAATGAATGCATACATTATTGTCAAAGTGAATAAATTCTGTAAAATGGTGCTGTATACATGCCTATACAATATGAAGAATACAGAACAACTTCCACTTGTATTGCACCAACTTATTTAGTCAAACTACCACCTTAAGCAATCCAATTAATTTAGACCTAGATAATGAGATTGTATTAACCACTATCATCCCTCTCTCCATTCTCTACTTACCCATTCCCGCCTTGCCGTCAGGGTAGGTGTACACCTGTCCATTGTTCTTGATGATGGGCAGATTAGCCGGGATAGAAGGCACAACTTCATCCTCACTGTCCTCGGAGCTGGAGCTGCTGGTTGACTCCTCACTGCAGCTGTCATAGCCATCAAACATCCCGAAAGAGTCTCTCCGTTTACGCTCCGAACGAGGAGTGCGCTCAGCCTGGGACCAAAGAAGAGGCCATAAGTCATAGTGGTTTCCTTCCATATACAGTGTATTCAGTAGGTATGATATTAGAAAAACATGTTTCCAATAAATTTTAATATGCTAACGAGATACAAATCTCGACGTGAAATTGTATTTTACATTCTTTAAAAACTTCCTAAAGTCTTCAGTTTTATATTCTAAACAGTGTAGAAAAATTTTGAAATAAAATTAATTATGAGAGTTTGTATCTAGCCATAACATAATACAAGGAAATGAAAGGACACAGAATACTTCCTGAAAACACAGTAAACACCTCAGCAAATTTGCTACATGTACGGCAAGTTATTCTAACTATGGAGGTCGTGGCAAGACATAGACATTTTTATGATTACATTATTTTTGCATTGCATAATGACACAGTATTGTATTCATAATATTGTAAACAATCAGTGAATGCATTACTCAACCAATAAAAAATCTAAATGTCCCAGTTTTATACAATATGGTCTTACTATGAATGAGAGCTGCAAAGATGAAGTAAAAACATCAGATAGAGGTCTGGAGATGTGTCAGTTGTGGTTGACAGTGTAGTATTGTTTACAGCTCGCACACTTCCTTCTTTGAGAATAGCAGGTGATGTGAGCAGGAAATGCATGCTTGAAAATGAAAATGACAGCGTGAAATATGTTGAATGCATCTGCACACCAAATAATTCAGAAGAATAAAGCTAAAATGTTAAACTGACCGATCATATAAAAATAGCTACAGCTAGCGTTAGCATCGTGCTAGCGGAAACCTGTTTTTCTTGTTTTCACTAACAGATACATGGCAGCAATATGTTGCAGTATACGAGTTAGAGACATGCACATTTTGAGTAATTGTTAAAAATTTTGTTACTGAATTCACGTCATGGGGCGTTTCATATTTAGCTGTGATGTTAGCTTGTTTCCTTAAAAAGATAACAACAAAGGAGGAGCGCTAGCCTAAGCAAATCCCGTAGAGAAGCTCTGCGGCCCTTTACATTTCTTTTTCACTCACCAAATCCCGTGTGTCTTCCATCAGCCCTTCATATAGGCAACATTCAGATGATATAGTCCACACAGCACAAACCGCACCCCATATAGTTGGCTGTATTATTAGCTATAGAAAGTCTAAATCTTAAATGAGTAGTACAGAGCAGGATATCAACAAATTACAGCACTTGTGCGCATGTGCGTACGTAACCTACTTTCGTGTGATTGGTGGATCAAGAATGGAGGTCACGGAGCGCTGCAGAAACACAACAGTGGTCCCATCGTCAATGAATGAATGACCTGTTGAAGACTGTCTTTGCAAACGAACAACAGCAGGTAGTGTGATCATTTTAGTTAGATTATGTAGCAATGCTAAAAAAGAAACAAATACTCACCAATGACACATTAACCTTAAATGAACTTATCCACCCACTAATTGGCGTGAGCTAAAAGAATTACATTGATAAACATTCCACATAAAATAAATGCTTTATTTAATATAGTGCAACTGATCATATAGCTTTGTCCCTAGCTAAAGACAATAAATTTACATTTTAATACTGAACATTTTTAGAGGACAACATTCAAGAGATGCTGCTTCAAAAATATTTTGATGGGCTTTTGAATATCTATACATCTTTGCATATTCACATACAAGAAAATTAAAACATAGGTATGGTTAGCCACAAACCATTAATAACTAATTAACAAATATCACAGTGCTTCTTAATAATACTAATATTGGCACATTCTCTGTAACATTGTTGCAACAAAACAGCATTGGTTCAAACTAAAGAACGTACAAAACACAATTAAAATTGTATAGTTCTTGACTAAACAAGGCTAATATGAATATGGCTGGAAGAGTTGAACAGATAAGGCTTGGACGTTGAGGAATTGTTGGGTCCCATGTTCTGTGAAGCATAATGTCAGAGCTAGAGTAAAATATGCACAGATAAATAAAATGCAAGTTTACTTTTCACAAACAATAAAGGAACACTACTCAGTTAACCATAACAACAATGACACCACTGGTCTGATATTTTGTGTGAAGGAAGAGTGTATATAATCATTACCTTCAGCAGGACTCAAAGTAGCTCATTGACATCTTCAGCACTTCCTGAGATTGACGGAACTTCTGAAGAAAGCAAATGACAAAAAGCAATGTCAAGCAACACATGGTAATGTACAGCAGCTGAAAGTTAATGTTATAATGTATATCCTGTGTGGAAAAACAAGTTATGTAACATTTGCAGTTTATACTTTCAGCATCACCTGATAAACTGATGCAGGAGAGACTCAGCTCTGAGGATGCACCAACCACATCATTCTGAGGGAGTTGCAGGAGTTACAGGAAAAAAAAAAAGTCAAAACTCACAAATCAGTGTATTATGTTGTGCGACCTCACTGATATAATAAAGAAATAAAAATATAATAAAGAAATAAAATTTCCTTTTGTCATTCGTAGCCTTCAACACTCACCAGCATTTTTTGCAGACAGTCAAAATTGTCACCTGGAATCTTTCCATTCATTTCATTAAAACTTATGGCATGGCCAAGTCGAACAAGCTCTTCCCCAATATCTAAGGTCTGCAAGGATTTAAAACAAAGAGACAGTAAGAACAATCCACTAAGATGTGACTAAAAAGAATTGCCCAAGCTTACCTTTCCCTCAGTGCAGTCGTAGAGCTTGACACTGGGCCATGATGAGACTTCAGAATGAGAGTAACTGCACAATTTGGCCTGCAGAGGGCGCCACAAAGCACAGTGTGTCAGCCTCTCAAAGTCATCCAGGGCAGCCTCAGCCCAGGAGTCCCCTGAACACAGGCACAAAGCTATGAATACGACTGTACAGTTTTAAAACCAGGGTTTATCTTGCGAAAATACAATACCTTTTGGTCTTACACCAGCCAAGTTACACTCAATAGCTTGGAAAGGTAAGCTGAGGAAGTCACTCCTGAAAAGCAAATGCAACAATTTCAACATTTGCTCTTTCATCTGCATATAAAAAAAATAATAATTTGACAAAATGAAAAATATATTCCTTTTCTGACAGTATAATTTTGACCAGTGAAAAGGACATTTTATAATTTAACACAACCCCTTTATCCTGTGATATTTTGGTTTAGTGAATTCCACTTTGTTATTTGAATTCCAATTTCATGTAAAGTTTCGGTAGAACATAAAACAACATAAAATCTGAACAGCTAAAGACGGGCTCATGGCACAATGGTATGTGCATATTTCCATATGAAATTGTTTTATCAATGAAGTGGTACCTCATGCGACGCAAGCTGTCCCGGGGAAGCTCTCCATTGTCTCCAAAGTCCACATAGTACAGGTCCACCAGTCCAGAAGGCAGTGTCCCAAGAACCCTGGCCCTATTCCAAGTCCCATGGTCCCGATAAGGAGCAGCCACAATGTCCCCTACCACAACCCCCTCTACCCGTTGCTCCTAGACATGACCATATGAGGAATAATTGACACAGAGCTAACATGTGTGCACATTATAGAGGTTGATTTGCTTACAGATGGACTCCCATTGCTGTAGTAGCGGTTCATCTCTTCAGTTAGTTTGTCCAGTTGTAAAGAGCGCACGCCCAGGATTTGGATCCAGAAGTGGTTGGGGTTTTCGGAAGCTGACACATAGACCTCCAAGTGTTCATCAGGCTGGAAGCTCAGGTCTGGGCTGGGGACTGACAAAAACAATACCATGCAATTTAATATGGATTAGAGACAAGGACATGGAATTTATGCTCTTATGTTATGCTCCTCTTTAGTTATGAACTAGGACACATGGATCTTCATTTTATATTTTAAACATTTAACATTACAATATTGACCTAAAACGACTTAATAAAAGAAAGTCTGCTGACGTGCTATGTGCTTGGTTGTTTGTGAAATTCAGGAATTTTGATCTGAGTGAATGACCATAATCCCATGAAAACTCAAATCTACAGCACAGAGTCTTTGAAATTGTACTAGAAAAGAGCCACTCACTTTCAAACTTGGAGATTTGGGTGAGGGACTCAGAGGACAGACTGTGGTCAGAGCAGGAGCTCTGCAGATCGTCCGCTTCTGTCTCTCCTGTGGTCACACTGATCTCAGACTGCTGTTTCTCTGGCTCGCTCACCACACTGTTATTGTTGAGGCCAATTGGAGCCACAGTCTCCTCACTCTCACCAACTTTAGGCTGGAGGCGGCGTTTGTGACGCTGAGCTGATGACTGGCAAATCTTTGTCCTCACCAAGAGATCCTCCTTCACCTTTTCTAAAACAAGAGTCTATAAAAACATACAAATGACAAAGTAATAAACAATCACACCAAAACTAGTTACATAATACATTGTGTATGTTGTGTGAGCGGCTGCAGACCTTGGCTTGCTGGACCTCCTGTCTGTTTCCTGTGATGGTGACACTTCCTTTAGCACCAGGACCCTGAGCTCTTTCTTTGGAACAGGCCACTTTAGCTCCTGTGGTTCTGGTGATGTGCTTTAGACTCTCTCCCCCACGCCCTAAACAGGAGGAGACAGACAAAATATCTCCATGTTTAGTAATGCTCTATCACAGTTTGAATTGTGTATTAGTTAGTAACCTTCCTATTAATTTATTTTTTACTTTTTAATAATTTGCATGTTTTTGTTTTTATAGCAGGATAGCAGGATTGGTTAGTAGCAACAAGTTAGCTCCACGGTGTATGAGCATTATTTAGTCATTCATAATTAATAAAATAAGTTTAGGTTTTGACATAATGCATGATGGCTCATTGTCTATTGGGTGTCAAGGTGGTAGTATGTTCACCCATTTTCATCTGTACAATTCTCATCAACCATTCCACACCTGTAAACGCAACCTGAGCCAAAATTTAGCTCAAAACTAGTCAATAGCAAAAGAAGGTAAAATTATACCAAATGGAGAAAGCTAATATATTTTATCCAGTTCTTTGGATGAGTGGAGAAACATTTTCACTCTAAAAAGGCTGCTTTTGTGATGGCTCACACACAAAGCACTTTTTGAAACTTTGTTTATTGAGCTCAGTTTTAACCATCATATCAGGGAATTTTAACCAACTAAAATGTGCAGCGTGTGCTGTTCAAAGGACACAAGTAAGGGACTGTTTTGAATTTTGTGAAATTAGCAGTTTGTTTTTCCCGTAAGAAGCTAACTATGGACTATGCTACAGGATCTTTACACCATATGCTGTAGCAAATGTGGCAGACGAACTTCCGGAGGAAATACTTTGAGGGAATGACCACAAGGAACTGTTGGATTGTGTGAAAAGAACTGTTTGTTTTCCTCATATCCACGGAGACTATGCAAGATATTAGCTAAATGTCTGCAAATGTGGCAGAAGATCTTCCAGAGGAAACACTTTGAGGGAACAGACCAATTCGCCACCAACCAAACACCCGAGCAGAGTGAGAATAAGGCCTTTCCTGTTTTGTTCATCTGGTTTTCCCCTGGACACTGGTGTGATACAGCAGGACACTTTTGGCTCAGCCACAGAATCTGCTGAGGCATTTGACTGAGATTCTCTCTCTCAAAAACTTGGTCTAGTTGACATAATTTCATATTTTTTCTACGGAAACAACATGGACATTGAAGAATTACACAGATTATTACCAATGATGCGCCCAAATGCAGTCTGGGGCACTTCCATGGTCTCGGACACAGGTTCGCAGTCTGTGACCATGCTCTCCAGGACACAGCGGGCAAGGAGCACCTGCTCCTTGGACCCCTGCAGCAGGAAGCACACCTCACTCTTGGAGCCAGTGGAAACTGCATCAGACAGAACCCTCACATGGGCTCCAGACTTCTGAGTAACCTGAAAACACACCACATAAATGACTCAACAAGATTCTGCTGCAGCTATTTTTAATAGTTGTATTTTTATGCACACAAAGGCTGTTTGAAAGAAGGGGGTCTGCTACTCACCACATCTAAAAAGGTGGCTTGGTATCTTGAGATGTTCCTGTAAACATCTACAGGGAGAACCATCTTTGACACTTCAATGTCTGCCTCTTGGCCTGCTCAGAATCAAACAAAATCTATAATTTAAATGTGTGTATAATGTAAACTGCAATGCAATGTGTGAGTGTCCCCTTTGCTCACTGGTGCTGCTGAGGTGGCGGTACAGCATGTATCCCACTGTGGCCCCCACAGACAGACCTGCTGCCAGAGCAACCACTTTCCCTGAGCTCAGGCCCTGGG